CGCATTTAAATTGTGAGCTAAATTCACTCCAAAAATAGATAGGCAAGTAGTATGAAATTTAAAATGTGCAAATGAGTTAGAAAATATGTCAATTACCAGATGGTCTCTTTCATGTATGGAATAGAAATAAAGCAAGGTAACTAATAAAACACAACAAAAATAATACAGCCTGAGAGAAACTTGGGAAGGGAGATTAGTAGGACTGGGTGGAGGGAATCGTCCGGGAGTGAGACTAGCACCCCTCTTTGTTGCAGGGCGTGTGGTACTCTCAGGAGTCCTGTACAGGGAGGGGTTCAGTTTTCAGTTTAAGGAAGTCTTGTCCTCATTCATTCTGTTCACCTGCCACTCATCTTTCTGGAAACAGCATGTGTGTGCATTCACACATGTGTTTGCATGCATGCAGGTGTGCTTGTATACCCACATCACATGGGAAGATGTTGTATGGTTGCTCTCCCTGAATTGAATGGGATTGTTTTGGGATTATTTTGATTTACAACAGAGACCAGTGTTATATCATGGACTTGAGTCTGTACAGAGGCTTTGTGAAACTTTTGAATTGTGGGTGGTTCATTATCATTTTATAGAGAATTTGCATGCAGCACAGATCTTTCACATAGGCCAACTCTAGGTGGGATTTTCAGAAATTGTGCATTGAAGTCACATCTATCTTTTCCTTGAAAGCAAATGTTTTATATTAATTTTTTTTAATTGAATCACCGTAAGATGGACCATCAAAAAGTTATTCATGATTTGGTTTCAGTCATATAATGTTCCAACAACCATCCCTTCGCCAGTGTACATTTCCCACCACAATATTTCCAGTTTCCATCCCACACCCCCCTGCTGCCCCTCCCCCCACTTGCCTCAATGGCAGGCACTGCTTTTCTTTCTCTCTCTACTTTTGTACATTATGGTTTGCAATGCAGTCATGAAGAGGTTATCATGTTTGTTCAGGGTGTTCAGTATTTTTATTGGAAGGTACACTTGGAGTAGCTTTTTTTTTTAACTGGGTGGTGGCTTTGGGGTGTGGACATGACTGCTGGGGCTCCTGGAAGTACAGGGAGGTGAGGGGAGGTAGCCTGTCCTGACCCTGAGAAAACCTGGAGATTTCAGCCACTAAACACGCATACTTGCATTTTCAGAGGTTGATGTCTCAGTGAGGTCTGTCCCAAGACAGTGGAGTCCGGCTGGGGGCATGACTGTGATTTTGGATTGTGGGAGCAAGTGACTACCATGAACTCTGTTTCGGGGGACACCAGTCTGACCTGACCCCTCTGACCAACCCCGGTCTGTTCAATGGGTCTGAGATTGACCTTGGGTTTTGGTCTCTTCTGAGATTTATTTATGGGTCTCTGAAGCGAGGCCGGCAGAAGAGCTGACATGGTGGCGCTGAGTTGGTTCGTGGGGGTGACTGCCAGTGCTTCCAGGAGTACAGGGAAGTCAGGGGAGGTAGCCCGTCCTGACCCTGAGAAAGCCTGGAGATTTCACCAAACCTGCATACCTGAATTTTCAGCGGGTTAATATCTCAGTGAGGTCTGTCCCGAGACTGTGGAGTCCACCTGGGGACATGGTAGCAATTTGGATTGTGGCAGCAAATGGCTCTTAGGAGCTCTGTTTGGGCTAACCCGCCCCCCTCCAGTCTACCCCGGTATGTTCAGTCTTGTGAGGGTCCAAGATTAACTGTAGCTTTTGATCTCTTTCAAGATACATTTATGGGTCTCTGGAGCAAGACTGACAATGAGCTTGTGTGGCTGAGCCGGAGGTTGTTAGGTATGTGGTTTGTGAGTCCCACATACCTAACTTGGCAGCTTCATTTCTGTTAACTTGGTCCTGAGTTGTTGGAGTTGGGCTAGCGGCACAGTCGTACTTTGGGGGTATCTGGACTTCTGAAGGCACCATCAGGCTGCTCATGCACTCGCCCCCATGTCCTGGTTGACCTGCTGGCATTGCTGTACTCCCTGGGCCCCACTGGCAACAACAGCAGTGGCCTAATCAGGGACTGGGACCAGGGTTCTGTGTACTCTGGGCCGGCTGCAGAGCCCACCCGGGAGGCACATGCCCCATCGTGGGTCCCCAGACAGTGGTGTTGGGGTGGAATCCTCCACCATATATGCTGCAGGTGGGCTGGGCAGGGAAGAAATGGCCATGGGCTGCCCTGCCGGGAGAGTTGCCAGGGCCCCAGGGTGGGGACTCGCGGTGCTCCCAACCTCTGGGACCCACGCCCCGCGGTGCTGCGGGTGACCCGGAGCGCCCTGGCCAGACACTGAGAGCTGCTGCACCACCCCCAGCTCCATTCCTGCCGTGTTTATGGAGCAGAGCTCAGGGACTGTGAGGGGGAGTGTGAGTCACGTTCACACTCCCTCTCAGAGAGGCTGGGACCCTGCTGTCCCATACGTGCTGAGAGCCTCCCTCTGGGCTCAGCGCTCTCCTACATGGAATAGTTTAAATGTGGAAGATTTGTAACTTTCAGCAGCCATTTATGCTCGGCTGTGAGATCTTTATGTAGTTCAGCTATTTCTATAAAATGAAAACTATGAAAGGGAAACATTAATGACAGGTGATCGTGACCTTGGATAGGTGAGTTGACTTAGATGCCTGAGGTTGAAAAAAGCATGGGGAAATTTTTATTATAAAAGGTATGTATAGATATATCTCTCTTTTATCTATCAAATATATGTATATATTTGTCTCTTTTTTTTTCTTTTTTGGCTACACCCATGGTGTTTGGGCTGGAGCGATAGCACAGCGGTAGGGCGTTTGCCTTGCACGCAGCCAACATGGCCGACCTGAGTTAGATTCCTTTGCCCCTCTCGGAGAGCCTGGCAAGCTACCCAGAGTATCTTGCCCGCACAGCAGAGCCTGGCAAGCTACCCGTGACATATTCATTATGCCAAACACAGTAACAACAAGTCTCACGAAGGAGATGTTACTGGGCCCGCTTGAGCAAATCAATGAACAACGGGAGGACCATGACTGAACATTACTGACCCATGGTGTTTAGGGCTTAATCCTGACTCTGAGCTAAGTGGTCACTCCTGTTGGTGATCGAGGGACTGCATGGATGCTGGGATTGAACCCGGGTCAACTGCATGCAAGACCAGCGCCCTACCCACTGTACAGTCCTCTGGCTCCTTTAAGAGATAGAGATCGCCATTCCATACTGGCTTTGAGATCAACAGACCAAGAAGACTTAACTCATGTCTAAATAGGCACCAAATAAAGGAGCAGCAAATGTTATAAAGCAATTGCTAATAGACTAAACTGTCAGCAACACATCTGTCAAGGAGGTTCCCCACTGCCTTACTCAGCAGATAAGCCAGACAGAGCATCAGTGTATGAAGGAATTCTCCATTGCAGGCTGAGGTGCAGGCCGTCTCCAAGACATCTTTTTGAAAAAATTATATTTATTTGTATGTGTATATATATATATTATTGAATCACTGTGAAATACACAATTACTGAGTTGTTCATGATTGCATATCAGTGACACAGTGTTCCAACATTGTCTTTTCACCAGTGTCCATTTCCCACCGGCAATGTCCCCAGTTTCCTTGCCACCATCCTCGCCCCAGCCTGCTTCCATGGCATGCACTTTTCTTCTTTCTTTCTCTCTCCAAGATGTCTTTCTTTTAGCCCAGGTCTTCTTTTGGCTTGCAAACGCACTTTAGTGTTGATGTAATCCTGTTTGAGTCTTTGGGTCTTGCTTCCTATTCCAATAGTTAAGCTATTGGAGATACCTGTGAGGTGCTTGTCCCAGGCATCCCCCATGCAAGCCTGACATCCCTGCCTTGTCAGCCTCCCATTAGCCTGTGGGAGTCTTTCACTCTCAGCGTTGGTGTGATCAGGGTTGGGTTATATCTCTCGTCAGCAACAGGACGTCAGGTCTCGTTTCCTGCTCTGCACAGACACTCTGCCTTTAGATGTCTTCAAATGTCCATTGCCATTCACATGGACATTGCTGATAGGAAGAAATTTGTCACCATTTTTCTATGAAGATTTTGGTGTTTTTTTTTTTTCTCCATGTAACATTTGTGCTTTTAATTTGTAGAGGGCTATTGCTACGGTCAGCTCAGTCAGTGTTGTTCAGATACAATCAAGAGTTTTCCTGAATTTGTCCCCGACTGTTAATACTGCTAATTCCTTCCTTTCTTTGTTATTCCTGGTGTTTCACTGGACATTCCAGGCTTTAGCTCTCCTGACCAGCAATTGAGTGCTCCCAGTCGTAGTATTTGGTTGGTGTAATTCTAGTGATCATGAGGCTTTCTGATGCTTTGTTTACTAGTGACATCTAAGAGCAAAAGTTGCTGTTACAGGCTCTGGCCACTGCCATGGCCGAGAAAAGTCTGGTACGCAGTTGACACATGTCCACGTCAACAACGGGAGGTTGGTGTTTTTGATGTCCACCCACTTTTTTTTGGGGGGTGGGGTCACACCCGGCAATCCACGACCCAGTCCCAAGCTGCCAGCAAGCCAAGGCTGGCAAATGCAGGACTATCCTGCAACTCCAGAGATCATCTTGCTGCCCAGCTGTTACTGGACACACGTGATCAGTGCAGTTAAGGACCAAGTCAGACCACATCAGCTGCCAGACACTTTAATTCTGAATACCAGGCCAAGCAAGGCCAGCTAGATATGTGCACTGCAACAGCTGCAGGATGCGAGTGACCACCAGTGTTTCACTGTCACCAGGGCCCAGATGCAGAGCCAAGGGCCCCAGTTTGACTATACAGACGAGCAGTAATACAGCAGGGAGGGTATTTGCCTTGCACATGGCCAACTGGTTTCAATCCTCGGCATCCCTTATGGCTCCCTGAGCACCATCAGAAGTTATTCCTGAGTGCACAGTCAGGAGTAACCTCTGAGCATCGCCAAGTGTGACTCAAAAAGAAAAAAAATGTATTAATTCCTTGGGGCATGAGAAATTATTATTGATCAACTTTATTTAATTCCCTTTCCTCTCCCACCATCCTTCATCCTTTTTTTTTCCTTCCTCATAACAGGGAGAATTTTCTCATGATCAAGATGTGGTAGAGTATATCATGAATCAACCAAATGTTGTTCCACGAATTAATTCAAGAATTTTGACAGCTGAGCGAGAGTACTTGGATTTAACAGCGACCAGTAAGGACCAGTTTAAAATCAAATTTGGCCTTTTATGATTTCTGCTTTAGTAATCTTTGCATTTATTGGATTGTAATGTTCTGAAGATAGTCTTAGACTTGTGACAGTTCTGTGCTTGAACTCATTGCATCTTGAGTTCATAATGTGAGCTGCTCAATTAATTCCCAAGAATTTGCTTTAAAAGGATAGAAAATCCTTGCAGATAAGTCTTCATAAAATTTGAAGAATATTTAGTGCTATTTAAATGCTAGCTAAGCAACATTAAATGAAAAAAATTGTATTATTTTACTGATGGTCTGAAAGAACTTAAGCAGCTGTCTTCGTTTTTGGAGATCAGAAATGATGTCGCTAGGGGCCGGAGAGTAAAGTGGGCAGCTCACTTGCCTTGAATGCATCCAACTTGGATCCCATCCCCGGTATCACATATGGTCCCCCGAGAATGTTCTCAGTAACCACGCTGTTTAAAGATGGATGTCATCTCCGTTCACGTGATGTCATCCAGACTGCCATCCATTTTAAAACCAGCCATCGTGACCTGAGCTTGGCCCTACCCAGCCGTGGTTCCAAGAAACTGAGGCAGCATGGCCTCCGGACCCTATTTGTGACTCAGGATTGCAATTTTGCCCCCAGGCTAGCACAGGTTTCTTCATCTCTTCATATCTCACCATGCGCATACAAAGAACCCCTGACTGTAGTAACCTAGCCTCACAACAGCACACAGGAAACACCTCCCACTGCCAGCATCAAATGGGAAGCCAACTCAGCTGTGAGTGAAAACACTAGCCCGGAAGAACTGTACAACCGTTCTGATAAGGACTTTAGAAAGGAAATGTTGGGGGTGTTTAAGGAGCTACCAAGTAAACACAAGAGTATAGGAGAGCAGAACTGAGGAAACTACAAACAAAAATGACAAAATTCAGTAGGTGAAATGAAAAACCCACTGGAAGGCCTCAGCAGCAAGCGGAGTAATAGCTGCTGAAGACAGAATCAGTGAGCCCCGAGATAAGGTGGAAGAAAACCTCCAGATAACAGCAGAAGATGGGGGGGGAAAAAGACTCAAACAACTGACAAGAGAACTTTGGGTCCCAGAGGGGCAGAAAGAGAACCCCAGTGAAGAAGCAACAGTCAAAGCCATCATTTCTGAGAACTTCCTAGAGTTAGAGAGTGCATGCACCCAGATTCAAGAGGCCTGAACAGTACCAGCTAAAAGAAATTCAAATAAAAATACTCCAAGACACATCCTAATAAGAATGAATTAAAAAACACAAATAGAAATAGAATACTGAAGGCATCAAAGAAGGAAATTATAAGCAAAGGAGAGTCCTTAAGATTTACAGTAGACAAAACCCTCAGAGCCTATACACATGGTGGGATAGAGGGAAAAACCTCAATGAAATGAATGCCTCACTGAAAATGAGTGAGACTAAACCCAGCCAGACTCCTGTTCAGATTTGAAGGAACTATATACAGTTTCACAGATAAACAACTCAGAAATTACTTAGACTCAGAGCCATCTTTATAAGAAGTATAAGGCCTGCTTTAAAAGAAGTCCCACAAACATGACAAACTTCTGCAGAAAGATGGCACAGTAGACATTGTTGTCCCCGTGACAACAATCTTTCAATGTCATTGGTCTAAATGTACCAATTACGAAAAAAAAACTGTATGGATTAGATACTTGAACCTAATATTCTGCTGCCTTCAGGAAATACATTTGAATAGTCAGAACATTTGAATAGTCAGTTTGGTTTTTTGGTTGGAAGATAATTATTCAAGCAAACCACCCCCACAAAAACGGCTGGGGGGTGGCCAAACTGGTATCTGACGACAGGTATCAGGCTAAAAAGAGATAGTAAATGTCATTTCATAATGATCAAGGGCTCTCTACATCAGGAAGAAATTATATTTTTATGCATATTTGTACCCAAAGAGGGACCAGCAAAGTACTTAAATTAACTGCTAATAGACTTGACAAAAGACACTGATAGCAACATAATAGTAGTTGGAGACTTCAACACCGCATTGTCACTTCGGAAGCTCAGTTAGCACTTCCTTCGAAGGAAGAAATGGAAGACGGGTTTAGTAGATATAAATAGACTTTTTGTTCTCAGAAAAGCCGAATATACGTTCTTCGGTGCACATCAAATGCTGGGATAGAAAACATCTTTACAAAGTGAGGAGGATAGAAATCATACCAGTTATCCTCTCAGATCATGAATACACTCAAAGTAGAAGCTAACCACAAAAACGAAAGGAGTAACAACTGAAGTATCTATAAATTAGCTCATTTAATGAACAACCAGTGGGTCAGAGAGGATATCCAAACGGAAATTATAAGATTTTGGAGAGCCCAGCAAGCTACTGAGAGTATCCTGCCCGCATGGCAGAGCCTGGTAAGCTCCCTGTGGCGTGTTCAGTATGCCAAAAACAGTAACAAGTCTCACAATGAAGATGTTACTGGTGCCTGCTTGAGCAAATCGATGAATAACGGGACACATACAGTGCTATGAAAACAAATGAGAATAAAGACACTACCTACCAGAACTTGTGGGACATAGCAAAAGCAGCATTCAGAGGAAAGTTCACAGTGATGTAAGCATTCATTTATCAGGAAGGAAGAAAGGGCCCACATAAATATACTTGACTGCACAACTGAAGAAAATGACCCAACAAAAGGAGCCAAAGCAGGCAGGGGGACGGAAATAATAAAACTTAGGCAGACATTAATGAAATGGAATTCCCATGTATGGTCCACCAATCCCCACCAGGAGTGAGCCCTGAGCACCACCAGGTGTGGTCCAGAAACCAACCAAACAAACAGAAATCTAGCTGCAGGGTCCACATGTCTTCCTCAGTAAATAGCTGTCTGGAATCAGGGTGCAAAGGTGCATAGATTGGGATACTGCCAGGGAGAGTTTTCTGATACCAGGTTGAAAGAAGTTACCAGGTAGTTCCAAGGAATGAGTCTCTAAGTGTGGTTGTCTAGTAATGGGGTTGATATTAATTAGGTAACAGCATACAGTACCTGACGACTTGCTGACCATAAACTAATTCACATCCAATGTATAAGGAGTCTGAGGTACTTCTGCCAGCACTTGACCCTGCTGTGTTCTTTGCCTTGGAAAAGCTGAAGACACCCTGCTCTTATGGGTAGGGATGTCAGGAATAGGGGGCGTGACAAGGACCTACCTGGGCCTCTGTGAGGACCCTGGTTGTTTGATCCCTAATAACCCCCTCTCTCACATACACTCATAGCAGCAGACACACACACACACACACACACACACACGCTCACACACGCTCACACACGCTCACACACGCTCACACACACCCATACACCTGTGCATGCATACCCATGCTCATGCACATGCATACACAGACTGGATTCCCTGGGAAGGGCTTATGCTTGGTACTTTTTCACTATCTAGAGATTATATTTGTAGCTTACACATTTTAATAAATCTTGTTTTATGGTTAAATTAGATCATAAGTTGAATGTTAACATTAGATTTAATTCTGCATCGTGAGTAAGTGTATTTTCTTTTATTCCAGATAACTTTTTTGTGGATGATTTTGCTAGATTTACTGTCTTGGATTCCCCAGGCAAGACTGCAGCAATAGCCAATAGTATGAAGTACCTGACAAAGAAAGGTAATCTGCTTAAGTTGACCTTGGATTCAATTTTAAGTATTAGCTAAAATCATTTAGAGTTTTCAAAATTTCTTATTTAATTTTTTTTTTCTTTTTGGGTCACACCTGGCGATGCACAGGGGTTACTCCTGGCTCTGCACTCAGGAATTACCCCTGCCAGTGCTCAGGGGACCATATGGAATGCTGGGAATCGAACCCGGGTCGGCTGCGTGCAAGGCAAATGCGCTACCCGCTGTTCTATTGCTCGATAAAAAATAAAAAATTTTTTATCATTAAAATACTTTTAGTATCTTATAAATATCATTTAAATACCTTTAAAATACTTTCAAATACTTTTAAAATGTTATTTATGTATGTTTTTAAAATGGAGATGTCATCTTTATAACTTCTATTAGTATTAAAGTCAAAAGGAAAAGAATTTGTGGTTAAAAGTGTAAAAAAGAAAGATGATGTAAAATTGGGTGCAATAGACTAAATCATCTTGACTTACTGCTTCAGTGACAACAGTGGCCCAGTTTTTTTGAATGTACAAGATAAATATGGCTGTAGAAATCTCTGTTTTTAAATTTATTTTTGTGCAGGAGTTATTTATTTTTTTTAGGGCTACAATGAGGTAAAGCAATTTTCTTTTAATAACACTTGGATGCTTTTGTGCTGGCTACACCCTCTAAGCATCGTCACTGAAGACAGCGGTTTTGACCCTACCCTGGTCATATCCAGAGAGTCTTGGGTTCCCAGATATATGTCAGCACAGGCCATTGCTTCTGTCGGTCCTTCTCAGACGCTGGTTCAAGGGCTGATGGGTACTGCTGCGGCACTCGCCACCCTGAGGAGAAAAGACCTGGGGGCGTATTAGGTGTCACTGAACATTTGTCTCTACCCATCAGCTTTGGTATAGCAATGACATTTTCTTTTCTTCACCTTTGTCCAGGAATGTCGTCCAAGGAAATCTATGGTAACTTCAGAATGTTCCATTCCTCCCCTTAATTATTTGATACGGTTTCAGGCACCGTTACAATTCTGAATGTGTTGGCACTTGGTTGGGATGTTCTGGAACCTGTGGGTAATAGTAGATCATTTATCAATTGGATAAATTTTATGAATTTTGCTCAGAAAGAATTACAGAAAGTGGAGCTGATGATTGCTTGGGTGGCAGCGCGTGTCATATGTGGCCCTTGTGGGCGCCTGAGCACTGGACCCTGCGTTCACCTGGCAGACCACGTGTCTCTGGGAGCGCCTCCTAGAAAACGGAAATTTATAAATTAAACATGATAAAGACTTCTATGTTACCCACATATTTACAGATTCCTTTTCACCTTACATGCTAACAGATACTCAAAACTGCATGTTCCTACTTTTTAAAATTTTTTTAAAATTTATTTTATTTATTTATTTTTTGCATGTTCCTAGTTTTAATTAAGCCACAGTTTCCTTCTAGTTTAAAAGTTTCACTGCTTTTGCTATGTCTTTATTACATTTGTCATTTTCTGACTTCTTGTGTGTGCATGTTTTGTGGAAATGAGCGGGCTTAGTAATGGTTTCTGTACACAGGATGCACTTTTTCTCAGTCTTTAAATGTTGCTTTTATTTTCCTACAGATGATTCTTTTATTAGACCAGTAACTTTCTGGATCGTCGCGGATTTTGATAGCCCATCCGGAAGACAGTTACTGTATGATGCTATTAAACATCAGGCAAGTACTCCACTTTTATTCTTTGTCTTTGTTTGAGACTGCTGTTCTTTTCTTTTCTTTTTTTTTTTTTTTTGCTTTTTGGGTCACACCTGGTGGTGTTCAGGGGTCACTCCTGGCTTTGCACTCAGGAATTATTCCTGGCAGTGCTCGTGGGACCATATGGGATGCCGGGGATCGAACCTGAGTTGTCCGCATACAAGGCAAACACCTTAACCACTGTACTATAGCTCTAGCCCCAAGGCTGCAGTTATTTTCGTGGGCATCTATGTGTGGATGTTGATGTTGAGCAGGGATGCAGCAGTCTTACTTTCTGAAGCGTGTGTGGAGAAGGTTGTTCAGAAGTTTGCCAGCTCGTCAGAGAGAGACTGCAGTAGTCTGGCTTTGTATTCAGGGGATAGATTAACTGCCTTTGGAACTAATGAGATTCCTCTCTTGGACCAGTCTTTAATTATGAGAGTTATGAGTCTTTATGCTCGTGCTCAGGAGATGCTGCGAACACCGTGAAGAGACAAGATTCTCACACTTAGGGAGTCTGGATGAGGGGCGAGTGCACTGGCCGTGCTCCCAAGCAATCATAAATAAAATATGTCAGGGAAGGGGCTGCAGCCTTAGGACAACAGGCAAGGTGTTGGCCTTGCACCTGTCAATTTGGGTTCGATCCCTGGTACTACATACAGTTCCAGGAACATGCCAGGTGTGAAGCCTGAGCACAGAGTCAGGGGTAAGACTTGAGAACCTGTGTGGTCCCCAAACAAAACCAAGCAAATATACCAAATATACATCAGGATCCTTCGTGAGCTCTATTGCGGATTCACTACCAAGATCTCACCATTCTACAAAGAAGTAATCATCCATATCAAGAGAGGGGTTCGGCAGGGTGATACCATTTCACCAAAACTCTTCAGTGCCACCCTCGAGAACATCATGCGACGACTAGAATGGGAAAACATGGGAGTGAAGATAGATGGTCGGCAACTACACCACCTCCGCTTTGCTGATGACATCGTTCTAATAACACCAAACATCAGCCAAGCGGCACAAATGCTTGCGGACTTTGACCGTGAGTGTGGAAAGGTTGGACTACAGCTGAATCTTACGAAGACAATGTTTATGAGAAACAGCCTTGTTCCTGACGCTCCATTCGCTCTCAACGGAACCACCATCTCCGAATGCAACAGTTATATATACTTAGGTCGAGAAATCAACATGATGAATGACCTGGCACCTGAGTTACGCAGGAGGAAGAGAGCGGCTTGGAATGCCTTCAAGAGCATTGAAGAAATAACTAAAAGGACAAAGAACCTCCAACTACGAGCACATCTCTTTGATTCCACTATTCTTCCTGCATTAACATATGCCTCAGAGACCTGGACCCTACGAAAACAGGATGAGAACACTATTCGGGTCTCTCAAAGAGGAATCGAAAGAACTATGCTTGGAATATCACGATTCACTCAAATGAGAGATAGAATCCGGAGTTCTGATCTTCGTCAACGCTCAAGAATCAGAGACGCTGTCTCATTTGCCAAGACATCAAAAATCAGATGGGCTGGACATGTAATGAGGTTTACAGACAACCGCTGGACTAGAGCCATTACTGATTGGATTCCACGAGACATCAAAAGATCACGTGGACGCCCACCTATAAGATGGTCAGACTTCTTCGTCAAGACCCTAAATGATCGGTTTGAGGCTCTACATGTTCCTAAAACGAACAGATACCATTGGGCTACGCTAGCACGCAACCGGGATGAATGGAGACGTTACTGGCACCCGCTCGAATAAATCGATGAATAACGGGGATTAAGTGATTAAGTGATATTTGGCGGGGTTGGGGGGCTGGGGGGATATAGGACGCTGGTGGTCTGTAATGGCTAGTGGAGTTATAGGGATGATAAGAAGTGAAGTTCAAAGTTGGTCAGGGGGCCAGTTCCTGTGAGGGTTTGAATGCCTGACTTTTGAATTTAAGTTTTACTTTGTATGCAGAGGGGAACATTAGAAGACTTTTAAGAAATCTTTTTTTTTAATTTGTCATTAGAATATGACTGAAGTTAATGCTCTTTTTGAAATTTAAATACATTTAAATTTCCCTTTTTGCAAATAGAAATCCAGTAACAATGTTCGGATAAGCATGATCAATAACCCCAGCAGAGATGTCAGTTACGAGAACACTCGGATCTCCAGAGCCATCTGGGCGGCCCTCCAAACCCAGACCTCCAACTTGGCAAAGAATTTCATCACTAAAATGGTCAAGGAGGAGACGGCGCAAGCCCTGGCCGCAGGCGCTGATGTGGGCGAGTTCTCCGTCGGGGTAAGTGATTTGCCTGAGGTGACCGCTTCTGTTTGCTCTCCCCAGGGCCGGTGGAGCTTGTTCAGGATTCCTGATGTTATTTCTGGGATTTTTTTTTTGCCCCTACAGTCTGGAAGATTCCAAGAATTAACAGTTGCTACCACAGTCCCTGTCTTGCTTTTAAACTTAGGAGGTCAACATATGTGCATGATACTGGTGTATCACTGAAGCACACATCTGTGTAGTACTTCAAAGACGGGTCTTATTTTGTATGTTTTCAGAGCAAAGATTGGGACTTATGCCATTTATGGGTTGGAAACTTAGGAGTTCTTGATGAGTTCATGATGAAAACTGTAAACTCGTGTCTATTTCTTTAAATGGAATTTACTTTTTAAGAGTTTTGTGGTTTTAAAATTTCTGATAAAAAAGATGAGAATACTTGCTGTTTTGGTTAATAAGAAGACTTTTACTGAAATTTGCCAAATTTTAAAATGTAGACTATAGATATGAAGATTGTTTGCCAGTTTAATGAATTACAGAAGAAGATAGGGAGAAGTAAGCAGGAGGGAGGAAATGGGGAGAGAAATGTGAGCTGTGCTATTACTACCAGTTATTCCCACCCAAGAGCGTTTATGATTTATTTGTTATCTTTATTCGTTTTTATGGCTAACTTAATAACAATCCCTTTCCTTAATAACAATTACTTTTCCTAGGGCATGGATTTCAGTCTTTTTAAAGAGGTCTTTGAGTCTACCAAAATGGATTTCATTTTGTCTCATGCCATGTACTGCAGGGATGTTCTGAAGTTGAAGAAGGGACAGAGGGCAGTGGTCAGCAATGGACGGGTGAGGCTTTTCTCCTGAAACACGCTTGACTTCAAACTAGTTCAGTGAGCAGTCTTGGCTGCGTTCTCTCTTGAAGCTATAAACTCTCCACCAGAGCTACTATCTCCAGAGGTGACTCACAGTCACGCAGTGCCGAGGACCATTTCTGCCCTTTTACTCAAAGGAAGTTTGCTCCTTTGGACAAAGGGCCCCTGTGAAACCTTCTTGCTGTTTAATTTTGTCCTGACAGTGTGTACATTGGTGAGGGTGTGGCGACTCTCAGACCAAACCAATAAGGCCTTAGGTGCATCAGGTCCCAATCAGGCCTTGGGGGCATCGAGTTCCAATAAGGCCTTGGGTGCATCTTGGGGGAGGGGCGTTTATTGTTTGTTCAGTTTTATCAACTTCGGTGGATGTTTCATCAATATATATAGCTACTGAATGAACTAAAACTGGTGTTCATCCCTCTTTAAAACTCTTAGTTCTTAGGTTGAACATCTGTCACCTTGCCTTTGCTGTTTATATTCAGTGAGAATTAATGCGGGCTCTCTTGCTCATTTATTTTACTTCCTGCCATGAAAGTACTGTGACACATATGGGCCCACACTGTGTAGTTGAGGAGTTGGTTGATTCTGGCTTTATTCTTCCACTTTCTTACGGACTGTTCAGAGGTTGCCTCTTCTCAGCTCTGCAGTATTTAGCTTTAGGATCAGTCCCAGGGCATGGAGGCTCTTGTGGTGCTGAACCCAGTACCATCCTGAGACTTGGCCACCTGCATCTCTTCCAGGTAATTGGTCCGCTGGAGGACAGCGAGCTCTTTAATCAAGATGATTTCCACCTCCTGGAAAATATCATCTTAAAAACATCTGGACAGAAAATCAAATCTCATATCCAGCAACTTCGGGTAGAAGAAGATGTGTAAGTCTCACCCCGGAAATGGTTGACCAATCCCTGTTGTAGGGCTCTGTTACTGAGCGTTCCCCTGCTCCCTATCCAAAGTATAACAATGCTCTTCTATCCAGGTATTTATTTATGCTTTTGTTGAAGCAATTTAATCTATTTATTTTTTAATTATATATTTATTTTGGCAATTTTCATATATTTTATTTTCATAAATAGTTCAATACAGATTATATTTAAACACCCACCCAACCAGCAAGCATCTTCCCACCGCAATAAGAGGAAAGTGTGTAAAGGTTGTTTGTTTCATTCTGGAACCCTTTAAGCCCGTATATAAGAGAATACAAGCAAGTATGTTAAAACCAAACACATGTGTGCTGCTTTAGGTACATGTGTGGGCTAGAGTATAAGAGTTCCTGCAGTCACGAATGCAGCCGTGCACTCCAGGAAAATCTGAAGCAAGTTAATTTATTTTGTAGCCAGTAGTCTTAGAGTTGGAGTAGTCCTTTCCATTTTTATTTAAAAGTTATCTTTGATTGTGGAATATTTAAAACAAGTGAAAGTTGAAATGTGGCTTTATTACCTTAAAATATTGATGAAAGCGGTACTTTCCCTCCTTCTATGTTTGGGTACCCTTCAGTTTCATTTTATTCAGGAAAGGAAAGGTAAGTTAAATGCTGCTTTTTCATTAACTTACTAGTAGAAGAATGAATTGCTTGTCCTCCAGAGGTTGAGTTAGTAATTGTTGGCTACGTTTTTATTTCAACTCGTTGTTACTAATGTATGTTAACGTTCTGCCACTCGTAATGGAAGAGAATTATTTGAGCCATGCCTCTGCTATGCAGATGGTGCATGGATTAAATCATTGATTAGTCACATATCTGAAACTTGAAGACACCATGTCCTGGGCACAGAACCGGTGTACCCCAGCACACCCTGCTCTGTTGGAGGCTTTGGGGAGTGCCCCTTAAGAGTTTCTTTTCCTTGGTCATTGTCAGGCCACATGCAAAGTCTTGCATTTACCTTGCAACTCTGGCTCTGTCCAGAGTGGAATTTGTGGGGGAAAAGGTTGACATTGAAACCAAGCAAAGACCAATGCTGAAACTGTTAGACTTCTCTGAAGTACCAGTCCTGGAGCTTTCTGCTGAGGGTTTACGTTTGTGCCAGACTTGCTCTCTCTGCCTTGCTGTCACCTCTTGCCAGCCCTGCATTCATGACCATACCCGTCACCTCACAGCTGTTCCCAGAGTCTGAAGTAATGCTGTGGATTCAGACCCTGGTGTTTCCTGACCCTCCATAGAGTTTCTTGTTCACCTCCTTACCCCAGACCACGTAACTAAGTGTCCTGTCACTACGTCGGGGTATGACTTGAATTAATTCTTTGCATTCAGAATTAGCCCTGGGAAAGTTAAAGCTTTAAAGTGGTGATTCGATTTAGCTCTATGGCTCAAAGACAAGAACATGTAGTCTTGATTTTGCTTATCTTCATTCTATAAATTCACATATACTTGTAGGTGCTGTGGTAGGATTCTCGGAATGTAGTTCGTGGTTCACCAGGCCAGAGTAGCTTTTTCCATTCTCATCATTCAGGTCCAGCTCTTTGTTGTTTTGAAATCAGCTGTGGGAGGGGCAGCAAAGTAGACTCATGCTTCTGACCACTCACCACAGGATTCATTGCCACAGGGAAATAGGATACAACCTAGATGCTCAGCAATTGACTGGTTTAATAATTGTGGTTTATTAATAAGTATAGTATTATGTAGTCATTGAAAAGACCGATATTTCCCTACAGTAATGAAAATAGGTGGTCGTATCCGGCTGCCAAATCATACAGCACCACTTTTCTACAGGTATACATGCCTTATGTTAAAATAGAAGAATTTCAGAAAATGTAGACCTTTCATTGTTGTGGTGGCTGGTGGCCATACTTGGGGGTTGCCCACTCTGCTGTACACCAGGAAACCCACATTGCCATGTCACTGGGTTCATAGTCGGCATCCAACTTGGACATCCTGCAAGGTGCCTGCCCTGAGTACCCCAGGGGCCCCAACATAGGAGGATTTTGAACCAGAATGTTATCAATGCTTATTTCTTCATCATTGTATTCTAGTTTTCTATTTACATGTTTCCTGAATTTTTGCCTAGTGAATTATTCTAATAATCTTCAAGACTAATAATATTGTTTAAAAGAAGATAAAGGAGAGTGTCAATTAGTGACTTCCTTGGTGGTTGGCCCTGAGTTAGCTGCAGTGTAGTATTTATGGGCCATGTCCAAAGTAGCCGCTTTCTCCATTTCACAAACAGAAAGACAGCCTCTTGACTAAAATTAATCGGTTACAAGGTCAGTCATTGTACTCATGCCTGTTGTAAAGATTTTGTGCATTCATTCTGTTGGCATTCAGTTCTCAGACTGAGTATATCATGTTCCGCAGTCATTAGAAAAGCCTTTGGTGACAGGATACTAAAATTTCACCCACTTTTCCAGGGCAAGTGACTTGCTAATGAAAGTGGACGCTCTTTTGTCAGCTCAGCCAAAAGGAGATGCCAGAATTGAGTACCAGTTCTTTGAAGACAAACACAGGTATGGAATTAATGTTGAATTTGTGCATAGTTTTTAATATCACACTCTTAAGTTTTACTTTACTTCAGCTCTGTTATCTTTGCATATAAATTGGGTATATAAATTCTTCCAAGAATGGAAAGTTTGGTGGGTCGTTGTCATATATAATTGCTGTAAAGCTCATGTCCAGTTCTTGTAGAGCAAAAGTTGACATTTTTTCCCATATACATCTAAAAGCTCTGAATGCACTTAAAAAAAAAATGAATATGCTCTTTTAGAAAATACCGAGTAAGGCATAACAATTGCAATTTTCTGATACTTAGGAATAAAGATGGGTAGGCACTTGCCTTCATCATTTTTTTTCCCTTTATTTTATTTTATTTTTTTTAAAGTTGTAGATTTACAATTTTTTGTGCTTTGGTTTCAATCATACAATGATCAGATACCCATCCCTCCACCAGTGCCCATCTTCCACCACCATGGATAATATCCCTCCCACCCCCATCCCCCCATCCCCCCTGTCTCTGTGGCAGGGCAATGCCCTGTGTTCTCTCTCTCCTTTTGGGTGTTGTGGTCTGCAAAAGAGGCATTGAGTTGCCTTCATCATTTTAAAAATGTTTTAATAAAATAGTATGTCATAGGAAAGTCCTGGCCATTCGGTTTCTAGATTTTGAAGGTTTCAAACCTAGAGGCAGAGCAGTCAGGCTTACACAGTGATCTCTAACGTATCTTTAACCTGGCTCTGCTAGTCATGAATGTGTTTACCTACCCCCCAGGTGCATGTGTATGACATGCACATGATGTCCTTGTGCTTATTTACTCATCAGTATTTGTGCATTTGTTTTTTTGCACTCTTTGGAAGTGTGTTGTAGGTATCCCCAGGCATCGTATCTGAATTCTTCATCATAAGTAGCCCCAAGTACTAGGAGCTTATTTATGGCTCAGTTATCGAATATTCTTCAGAAAGTGAACCTGAATCTGGCATTGCTAAGTGAGGCACACTGCATATTAAAATTTTTCCAGTTATTTCTCACAGCTGCTTTATTTTTGTGCGGATCACACACTATTTTTTTGGTCTCTTTTGTTCTAGAAGTGTCCCTTGCTTTGTGAGGTGGGGGCTAAGGGTGTTTAGTGATGTTTACTTTTACTTTTCTATTTTTATTTTTTTATTTATTTTAATTTTGGGAGCACACTCAGGGTGCTTAGAGGTTGCTCCTGGCAGTGCCAGGAATTAAATGCAGAGCAAAGCATATGCTGGAGTCCTTTTATCACCCCGGCCCAGATGCTAATTTTTTAAAGTCCAGACCAGTTGCCTTTGGAACATCACACATTCTTAGTTGTTTCTTCACGATTAAAAAAAAAAAATCACCTCACATTCATTTGTCTTTTGAAGAAGTCCCCTTCTCCCCTCCCTTCTTCCCCCTCCCCATCCCCAATTGAGTCCTGCGTTCTTGCTGACTAGGTCAGTATAGAGATAGAAGGTACAATCATGCTGTATGCTATATATATATATGTATATATATATACACACACACATATATGTATATATAGTATATACAGGTATATATCTTGATTGTACCTTAAGAATCAGATCTGCATTAAAATATTGTTTAGAGTGAAGCAAAAACACTCATTGGGTGTCTCCAAAAACACCCAATAAGTGTTTTGGAAAAGGAAATATGATTTTTTTCTTTCTTTTTTCTGGCTATGCCGGGAGTCAAGCTCAGTTCTTCACACATCCAAGGCAAGTCAGTTCTCTGTTTCTGGAACCACATTCCCAGACCAATTGGGTGTGTTTTTAAGTCTTTTCAAATTCATCTCCTTTTAAAATTCATCCAGTGCTCCTAATCCTCTGAAATCGCATGTGTCACAGTACAACTGGAAACTGCATATGAAAATGATGTTCTCATAAATCTTAGAAACACAAACAGTAATCTGGTAGCTTTTGTTTTTCAGCCTATGAGTCAACAAAATAAATATAACTTCGTGTTACCAAAGATGCAGCCAAGTTTATATCTTAGCTTTGTAAGTCATTTTAGTTCTTTGGAAGATGAGCATGGCAATATTTTTAATCTCAAATCACATATATCCTATGAATCAGCAGTCTCATGGCTAGGACTGTTTTGTTTTGGTTTTGGTTTCTGGTTCACACCTGTGATGTTCAGCGCTTGTTCCTGGCTCTATACTCAGGAATTACTCCTGGTGGTACTCAGGAGACCATATGGGATGCCTGGGATTGAACCTGAGTCAGCCGCATGCAAGACGAGCTCCTTATCCACTCTACTGTCTCTCCAGCCCCATATTTTCCTTCTATTATTTAAGAACTATTTGTAGGGCCAGGGTTGTAGCTCAGTGATAGAGCACTTGCTTTGCTTGTGTGAGGCCCTGAGTTTGAACCCCAAACAACAAAAAAACCTAGTTCTATCTTCTTTCCTCGCTCCCTTTGTTGTGGGAAACAGCAGTTGACACCATGGTCTGTACTGTCAAAACTAATGCCAGAAGGTTCTGCAGTTTGGGGATGGTTGCAATTTTGTGTGTGTTTCCCTCTCCACATGTATCCTTGAATTCATTTTGAACAGACCTATGTTCTCAAGGCTTTTACAAACTGTGAATAGTTCTGATCCCACAATGCAGAGCTCATTCTCAGTTGCAGGGTCTTATTTTTGGCACATAATTAAGGACCAATGGAGTGGACACCCAGTAAGGAGTAAAATGAAGTTAACTGTTGGTTTTTTTAAAAAATTTTTTATCATTGAGTCACCTTGTGATACAGTTACAAGCTTTCATGTTTGAGTTTCAGTCTTAAAATGATCAAACACCCATCCCTCCCAGTGCACATTCCCCACCACCACCAATGTCCCCAGCATACCCCTCCCTTTCCCACCCTCCCCTGCCTCCATGGCAGACAACATTCCCCGTACTCTCTACTTTTGGGCATTATGGTTTGCAATACAGACACTGAGAGAACATCATGTTTGGTCTTTATCTACTTTCAGCACACATCTCCCATCCTGACTGATTCCTCCATAACTTTGTTTCTTACCTTTCGCTTGACCCCTGTCTCTTTGACCCCTGCAGTGCGATTAAACTGCAGCCCAAGGAAGGGGAGACGTACTTCGATGTCGTGGCCGTGGTCGACCCCGTCACCAGGGAGGCGCAGAGACTGGCCCCGCTACTCTCGGTAGGTGCCAGCCCAGGCCCAGTGCACCCTGACCTACTCCAGGGGCACTGGGGCTCAGGTGCTATCAGGGCAGAGCAGATGCCCGTTTCAGGATGGGGCGGCCCTGAAAGCCTCCAGGACCCGGGGGACTGGGCCCAGGAGTGACTCCTTGCTCCGTGGTGCTAAAGAGGCATGAAATTGAGAATAACGTTGATTTTTACCGTATTGGACTTAAAAAAAAGTTCTGCCTTATCATTTGCTTATTTCTGTAAATGCCTTTCCATATTACTGCTGATGGTAGCATGCTCTTCAGATTTGTATCAAATATTGCTGATTTTAACAAAATTTAAAATGCCTCAGACAAAAATCACAGTTGTTGCAAGAATGCTTTCGGATCTTTTTCTTTCTTTCTTTCTTTTTAATTTTAATTTTTTAAATTAATTAAAAAATTTTAAATGTAATTTTTTTTTTTTTTTTTTTTTTGCATTTTGGGTCATACCCAGCAATGCTCAGGGGTTACTCCTGGCTCTGCACTCAGGAATTACTCCTGGAGGTGCTTGGGGAGACCATATGGGATGCTGGGAATCGAACCTGGGTTGACCGTGTGCAAGGCAAATGCCCTCCCAGCTGTGTTATTGCTCCAGCCCCTAAAATGTAAATTTTTTAAATTTAAATTTAATTTTTTTTTATTACAAAGCTATTCGTGATCAAGTTTCAGTCATACAACGAGGGTTTTTTTTTTTTAAAGGTAGAATTTTACTTGAACATAAAACCGAGTCACAATGGGTAGCTTTCTGCACACAGGAATTTCCTATTGTTATAGGGTTTGGTTGAGGGGCTCTTTGTTTTCCTTGTGCAGTCTGCCACCCCCATTTCTGGCACAGTGACTCTGTGTGTGTTTGTGTGTGTGTGTGTGTGTGTGTGAGAGAGAGAGAGAGAGAGAGAGAGAGAGAGAGAGAGAGAGAGAGAGAGAGAGATTTACTCTGTGCATTTAGAGTTGTTACAGAAGCTTCCTAGTGGCTACTTTTTGTCACTTGGTATCTCTGTTCTCTTTGTAGGCCCGAATATTAAGCCAGACTCTTCTCAGTCCTGGGCAATTGATTTGTGAAGAAAAATGTGTTTTCTCAAATGTCAGCCTCTTTATTGACATTTTGTCATCTGGTTTGCTTTTCTAGGTTTTAACTCAGCTGATCAACATGAATCTAAGAGTATTTATGAACTGCCAATCTAAGCTTTCTGACATGCCTTTAAAAAGGTAACAAGCACTTTCAGAAGCTCCTAAAACAAATAGTACTAAGGGAAGCCTATAATGAATGTTAAGGATCAGATGAGCTTATATGTAAATGTCATGTTTGAAAAGATTGTTTATTGGATGCTTAATTTTGGTGCGTTTCTGTTTGACTACTCAGACATTCTAAAAGTCTGTATGTTGCATCAACCCAGACTACTTGTATTTGTGCCTGTCTGCTGCATTTCTCTTTTTCTTTTTCTATATTTTCTCTCTCTCCCTCTCTCTCTCTTTCTCTCTCTCTCTTTCTCATTCTCTCCCCATCCCCCATCTCATTCTCTTTCTCTCTTTCTTTCCTTCTCACACTCCTCTTTCTGTGGGTGGGGATAATTGGGTAGTGATCACAATTATTTATTTTTTAGAGGCCATGTCTCTCTTTTTTAATTTATTTTATTTTTATAAAGTTGTTCACAATAATTCATTACATTTAATATTCAAATACCAATTCCACCACCATGTACCTTCCCACCACCATAGGAGGAAAGTGTGTGAAGATTGTTGTATTTCATCCTGGAGCCATTTAAGCCCTTGTATAAGATATCACAAACATGTTTGTTAAACCCAAACAGATGTATGCTACTTTTGGTACATCAGTGGGCTAGAGTGTGAGACATTGCTCCGGGAATTCTGAAATTTAGAATATGATTATAGAGCAGATTCACTCATGCGTAAGACCTATGTCACTCTTTTCTTTGCCATTGATGAGGTTTTATGGTGCAAGGCGGGGTGGGTGGGAAATTTTGGGGTGTGACTGCCAAGCTACTGAAAAACTTGGGAGCTGAGGGGAGGAGGCCCAGTCTTGATCCAAGCGAGCTTGGCGATCTCAGTCACGGGTCCCACATACCTGGGTTTTTCTGCAGGTTCCCCCACAGGTCCGAGCCTGTGCAGAGCAGTCTTGAGCATGGTTGCAGTTGAGTTCTGGAGGTTTTCAGCTGCCAGGGTTCTGCTGGGGCGGGGAGGGAAACTCAACCCTTCCCATTCAGAGTTGTCCCAGTTTAGACAGCCTGGTGCAGCGTCAGGATGTTCTGTGTCACTCTTAGATCAGAATTATTTTAAATTCTTGGGTTGTTGATTGTTGCTGTTTTGTATTTTGCCCTGCTGGGACTAGCACCTTACCACATGCAAGGCATGGGCATTATTGCTGAGCTAAATCCCCAGCCCTTTTGTTAGCTTGGGGGCCACACCTGCTGGTACACAGGGTCACCCCAGCTCAGTTCGTGCATACCCTGCCTCAGGATTTGGGCGACCATGCACCAGTCCTTAGGACTGTCATCCGAGCCCCATTTAGAGTTCTTGAGCTTGAGAACACTTGCATCATTGTTGCTCTTAAATTTACCTCTTTAGTTATAATGCACTATGATACAGAAAGACTTTCGTTAATAAGTTTCCATCTTTAAAGAATCACAGGGCTAAAGTAATAGTACATTGGGGAGGGTACTTGCTTTACATGCTGCCAGCCTGGATTTGATCACCAGCACCCCATATGGTCCCCAGAGCCCTGCCAGGAGTGATCATTGAGCATGGAGCCAAGAGTAAGCCCTGAGCACTGCTGGGGATGACCTGGGAAAAAAAGAATCATTTTAGCTTGCTTCTCAACCTGTATCTTGAAAGAGAAGACAGATTTAACTGTATATTGCCTGGACTTTGGAATGGTCCTTTATGAAAAACTGATACACAAAACATTTAATAGCAATTAAGCATAGTCCAAGAATATGCCTTGGGCTGTGGAAAATTCCCAATATGTCGCTTAGTGTGTTCCATAGTGTAGATTCAGAAAAATGTGAAACTGTTTCAGGGTGAGAGAACTCACTCTATTCCGAGTTAGAGATTCGACTATTATCCTTGTATAGGAAAAAGTTGTAGACTTTTTTTTTGCTTTTTGGGTCACACCCGATGATGCACAGGGGTTATTCCTGGCTCATGCACTCAGGAATTACTCCCGGCGGTGCTCCGGGGACCATATGGGATGCTGGGAATCGAACCCGGGTCAGCTGCATGCAAGGCAAACACCCTACCCTTTGTGCTATCGCTCCAGCCCCAGTTGTAGACTTTTACATACAGTATTTTCAGAACTTAGTTGCCTGACGACCCAACCCAGCCACTCTTTAGGACTTTGCTTTAAAGAGGAAAAATGACTTTTTTTGTTCTGTGTTAAGGCAAGAACTCAGAAAATGCTTCTGATTCCATAAGCATGCAGAGAAAATGATTGCTCTTTGGCCTTGTCCCTGTTAGTGGAGGTATAATTAGGACAGAAGAGGGTTATTAAAAATCCTTTCTCGGCCTGTAAGGAAGCTTTTGCAAATACAGTCTGTCTTTTGTTTGCCTCTGTGGCTTCCTGAGAAACTAAGGGCTATGGTTGCACTTAAATTTTTTTTTAAAAAAACAAACAAACCTAATGATGTTCTTTTTTTATCTCAGCTTTTACCGGTATGTCTTGGAACCAGAGATTTCTTTCACCTCAGATAACAGCTTTGCTAAGGGTCCAATAGCAAAGTTTTTGGATATGCCACAGTCTCCGCTGTTCACCCTGAATTTGAACACACCTGAGAGTTGGATGGTAGAATCTGTCAGGACACCCTATGATCTTGATAATATTTATTTAGAAGAGGTAAGAGTGTTGCTTCCATTTTTCCAAGTTTCTGCTAATTTGTACAAAACTGTTTAAGATGTAGTTTTGGGGGACTGGACAATGGGGAGGGTGTTTGCCTTGCACACGGCTTACCAGGTTTCCATCTCTGGCACCCATAGTCTATAGGATGCCCTGAACCTGTGGGGTACCTAGGAGTAATTCCTGAGTGCAGAGCCAGGAGTCATTCCCGAGCACTGCTGGGAGTGGACCAACCCCCCTCCCTCTCTCCCTCCTGGCCCCCTTCCCCCCCCCCACACACACACTCACACACTCACACAGCAAAAGAGTAGTTGTGATTTGAATGAACAGACTGGATCACAAACTAGGCAGACCTGCAATGTCTGTGTTCAGGCACATGATTGTCTTTGAAAAAAAATTACAGCTTGAAATTTAATTCAGATACCGTAGAACTTGCCCCTTTAAAGTATGCAGGGTATGCAGGTTTTTTAATTCCCAGTTTTCATTTTGGCACTGTGATTGATAATATTATTGACAGCAGAGTCTCAGGCATGTCCCAGCACCCGTTTCCCCCCACCGGCGTCCCTGCTCCTCGCCTACTCCCCACTTCCTGGCAAGCTCGATTCTGCAGGCTGGTGCTCATGATCTGTTGCATTGACCAGTTCCCATTCCCTTACTACGTTTGAAAGTACACAGTCCAGGAGTTTGAATACGGTCACCGTTATCTAAGTTTAGGATTTGTTATCACTCCTGAGAAGAAATTCCACGCAGATTAGCAGCTTAGCAGCATCTGCCGTCCACTCAGGCCTTGTGACTGCTGGTCTTCCTGTCTGCTGACACCTTAGCTGCATGGTGTCCTTTCTTTTTGTTTTGTTTGTTTGTTTGTTTGGTATATTTAGGAGTGGCATTGCTAGGCCCATCAATGGCCAAGACTCAGAGACAATAAAAACCAGCTCCCGGAACCGCGCGGCCACATTTGCGGCTGCGTGACATCTTATTATGACATCTTAATATCTCATTCCTACTTTGGACAAACTGGCAGGCTACCGAATATAACCTGCCCACACGGCAGAGTCTGGCAAACTCCCTGTGGCGTACCCAATATGCCAAATACCAGTAACAATGATGGGTCTCATTCTCCTAAAGAGCCTTGAATATAGCACTTTCTTAAAAATCTCAGGGTTAGGATGAATGAGACATTACTGGGGCCTGCTCGAGGCAATCGACGAATAACAGGATGGTCGTGATTCGTGATTGCTAGGTGAGAAAGTAATTCTGTAGTTGATCTTTTGAGGGACAGTTTTCCCAAGTACACCATTTCCTATGCCGGTGAGCATTTTTCATGTGATCATTGGTCATTTTGTATCTTCTTTGGAGAAATGTTTATTAATTTATTCCCAGTGTGAGCGATGAAACTCAGGCCCTCTACATGCCAGGCAAATTCTCTACCACTGAGGCACTTCCCTGGCAAATAAATGTCAATTTAAGTTTCTTATCCTTTAAAAATGTTCTATCCAAAAGCAAGGAGAAAACAGACATTTTTCCATGGTGAAGAGTCAAATTAAAAAAAAATGCTTATTGTCACCTACTGTTAAGGAAATACTGATCAATTGTGGAAGGAGGTAGGAAAAGGGAAATCTAAGGGAAATCTTGTTCCTGTTGATAGGAAAGCAAAGCAAAGGTCCAGCTGTTCTGGCAAGCAGGGTCAAAGTTTCTCACGAGCTTAAAAGACTCACCACGTGGCAGCACTGCCATTCTTTTTTTTTTCTCAGCTTTTTGGGCCACACCTGGCGATGCACAGGGGTTCCTCCTAGCTCTGCACTCAGGAGTTACTCCTGGCGATGCTCGGGGGACCATATGGGATGCTGGGAATTGAACCCAGGTCGGCTGCATGCAAGGCAAACACCCTACCCACTGTGCTATCTCTCCAGCCCATCTATTCTTAAAGAATATGAAAAATCTCATTAAAAAAGATGTTTGCGGAGGCCTGCCTCTGCATTCTTCCATTTCAGGAAGTTGGTATCGCTCTCAGCTACTGCTTTGACAGTTAGATATTTTCTGCATGTAATCAGCAATACTTTGGGCAGTTGGTGCAGAACATGATTGGTTTTATGCCATTATGGAACCATATAGATACATGTGGACACTTGCGTTTAGAGTATCAGTATTTCTGGCTGTATCCAAATCATCGAGGTGAATTTGCGTTTTTGTTGATACTTGCCTAATGTTTCTCATTGCTTCAGATTTTCCTCATGTAAGTAAGTCGTCCTCACAGGAATACCTTCACTGTCATCTTCTTTCTGTAGCCTTTAGGTGCATTTCTTCTTCTGCATGGTTTTTATATAAAATATCCTCATTTCCTAGGTTAGACTCTTGCTTTTCATTGATACTTTTGGAGCAGTTTCCTTGATCTGGTTTTCTGTGTCTTTTCCCTGACTCTCTTGAAGGCAGGAACTCCTTAGCAGTGCTCAGGAAATCTCAGCACCTCTCAGCAGTTCTTGACTAGCTGGGCCAAGGACGTGAGGGCCCTGTGGTGCTTTGGGGTCATCCAGTGGGTCTGAGTGTTCTTTGGCCTCCTGGTCTCTGGGTGAGGCTTGCCTACCATGTGGTGCCAGGGATTGAACCGGGCTCAGCCTCCTGAGGGGCATGTGGTCCAGCCCCTGTACTAGCAACCCACCAAACTTGGTTGGGTTTTTTGTTTCGTTTTGTTTGCCTTGGGGCTCCACCAAGCAGTGCTCAGAGCTGACTCCTGGCTCTGTGCTTGGATCAGTCCTGGAAGATTGGAGTTCCAGGGCTGGGATCTGGGGCAGGCAGGCGCCCTCCCCACTGTACTGTCTCTCCAGTTGTGACCCACCTGACTTGTAAAAACTGTTGCTCAGTCACAAAATCAAGAGTCCAGGCATCTACCTCCCTCCTGAACGTTCTCTGGCACCCCATTTGCCATACCCCTCTCCTCTTTCCCTTGTGTGACAGCTGATTGCCATCCCTGCTGCGGCCAGTCTCGATGTTTGTTTCTTCTCACTGCTAAATGCCCTTCCTGGGATGTCTCGCTGGTCTTGCAGGTGGACAGCGTAGTGGCCGCTGAGTATGAGCTGGAGTACCTGCTCCTGGAGGGCCACTGCTACGACATAACCACAGGCCAGCCGCCGCGGGGCCTGCAGTTCACCCTGGGCACATCCACCAAGCCTGTCATCGTGGACACCATCGTTATGGCCAATCTGGTAAATGGGCAGATTTCAGCGGTAGACATGGGTCAGGCCAGCCTGGGCACTGAGTTTTGAGGTGCAGTTGGCACCATGATCATCCATTCTGGCGGGGCTTCAGGCCGACTGGACCCCATCACCATGATGATCATTAGTTCAGTCACATCCCCAAGAGTCCTCAACTTAAAACATACTAGAAAAATTTTTCTGTAACCCAACTGGGCCCTGAACCTGCATTGCTTATGAGCTGATAGTGGGTTTTTAAAGTTATTATTATTTGAACTTCTGTGATTTGTTCACATAGATGACCACTAACTCTTTATTGCAGTGCAGCTTCTTCGCTTGACTGATGTGTAGTTTGATAATATTTCTAATGTGTAGGGTTTATTCCCCCCACCCCACCCCCAAGAGTTTTGCTGTTTGCTATATTGTTTAAAATACAGTGACCAAGAAACCTGGGACATAGAACACAAGTCGAGCACAAGGTCCTGAATTCAGTCTCGGAATGGCCTCAGTCCGTCAGTAAAATAGGATGACAGATATTTTGGGGAGGGGGTGAAGGTCTTTCAGAAACAACATTTTGATGAGAGAGTTGAAATGCCTTTTTCCTGAGTGTCTGGAGACACAGTGTGTAAGGTAACTCACCCAGCATCCCACGAGGTTCCCTGTGTGTGCCATTCCCTGCCCCTCCAGGAGTAAGCTCTGAGCTCTGAGCTCAGAGCCAGGAGTAAGCCAGGTGTGGCCCAGAAACCAAAATAAACAGATGAACAAACTGTCTGTTTCTCTTTCCCTAGGGCTACTTTCAGTTAAAAGCCAATCCAGGGGCTTGGATTCTCAGACTGAGAAAAGGACGTTCAGAAGATATTTATAGGATCTACAGGTAGGACTGAGAGGTGCAGAACTGTTGCCAGGCCCCGCTGGGAGGTGCGGCCAGTGGGGCCACCGCCCAGTCGCGTTCCTCTGAGCTGACCATGTTGTCGCATCAGGCATTTCCGTCCCAGATGAAAAGCATGGGCCGTGAGAACCCGAGCCACTTCAAGAAAGAAGCTGGGAGATGGGCAGGCCAGGGTTTCTAGCAGAGAGCGTGTCACCTGCTCCAGGGTGTTGGGTGGAGATGGCCAGTCCCCTACATGGTGGCCGTGAGCCCCGGTGCTGGTCCTCCCTCTCAGGTCTGGGGGACTGTGGACCTGCTCTGGGGGCTTCTGCCAGGGGTCAGGCCTTGGTGTGAAGGTTTACTGTAAGCAGTTGTTAATCGAATAAAGTCATGCTGCCTTTTAGAAAAGTGTGGAGGGCCCACCCCGAGCAGTGCTCAGGGCAGACACCTGGCTCTGTCCTTATGCACCTCTCCCGGGCGTGTTCTTGGGACTGTGTGGAGCCAGGGTCACATACGAGTCACTGTGTGAAGGCAGAGGCTGTGCTGTGCTGTGCTGTCACTCCGGTGCATTCAGTTATTTTTGTAAATTTATTCCACCTGGATTTTTATTGAGGTTCCCTGATAGTTGTTTTTTGTTTGTTCGTTTTTTTTTTTTTTTAATTAAAGCAGCATGATTTACAGAGTCATTCATGGCTGAGTTTTAGACACATGGCATTGCAGCACCAACCCCACCACCGGTGCCCCGGGTTCCCTCCCAGCTCCCCTCCTTGCAGGCACCTTCCAAGTCCTGTGATTCCAGCGGGTCTCTGATTTCAGTGTTGCTGAGTCTGAGGTTGGGTATTTGGCTCTGTCATTGCTCATCACCTCCTTGGGCCTGACTCCCCTGGCCTGGCCATGGCTTCTCACCTGCCTCTTCTCCCTGTCCCTCATTCTTTCTCATCTGTGGCATTTGGAATAACTGGATGAGGGATATACTGTTTTGAAAGGGGATGCCCGGATCAGCCTCCCAGAGTTCGGGGAGAAGGAGAGAGTGCTGATGTGAGTCTTGCACGTTTTGCTCCAGCCCTCCCTCGTGATGGTGTTCATGCTGCCCCCCCACCGGTGCCCCGGTCCTCCCCCAGCCATGCCCTGGGAAGCTCGGCTCTGTCTCCAGCTCTCCAGTTCTGTAGCCTTTGTCCTTTTGTTGCTCCCGTGCTATGTATCTTTGTTTTGTTTCTTAATATCCCCCTCCCCCTTATTTTTTAACTCAGAAAATTCCTTTCTTATTTATTTTTGTTTAGTCTCTTCCAAGGGCTGGAGCATAGCACAGCGGCAGGGCGTTTGCCTTGCGCGCAGCCGAGAGTATCTCGCCCGCAGGGCAAAGCCTGGCAAGCTACCTGTGATGTATTCAATATGCCAAACACAGTAACAGCAAGTCTCGCAATGTTACTGGGCCCGCTGGAGCAAATCGAGCAAATCGATGAACAACAGGAGGACAGTCTCTTCCAAGTGTTTGAGTTTCCCCTCCATTTTTGTTGGTGTTGAATTTTCATTTTCACAGTGTTGGGGTCTGAGGACAGTTGATAGACTTCCACGGAGCTGAGTTCTGTGCCCCATCAAGGGTCTGTCTGGAGAGGAATGTTTATGAGGGGTGAGGAAGGCTCTGATATGTCTGCCTGGTCCTTGTCTTCTTTCAAGACCAGAGTTTACCTGCCAAGTCTCTGCCTTGGCCATCTGCACAGCTCTGACAGGAGTTTTAGGGTGCACTGCCACTGTGTGTCTGCCAGGTGTCTTCCTTCATGTCTGCCTGTGGTGGTCTTAAGTCTCCCCATCAGGAGGTATGTGTATGTTTGGAAGTGTGAGTTCTTCTAGCTGTCTTGATACCTTGATCATTAAGAAACTACCGTTCCTGTCCCTTCTGGCCTTTTGTGATTTGAAGTCTGCGGTAAACATGGCCAGCCTGGCCTTTTGAGAGGAATGATCATCCTGAGAGATTGTTCTCCAGACCTTAGTGTTGAGCCGTGTTTGCTGTGACTGCTGAGATCCGTTTCTTGTAGAGGGCAGAAAGTTGAGTTCAGTTTTCTGATCCATCCTGATGCTCTCTGTGGACCTTCAAGATGAGGGAATTTACTGCCATCATTTTGTAGAAGTTTATGAGTGTTTGTGGACTCTGTCTTGGCTTTTAAAGAAATTCCTTACAAAAGTGTTTTCAGTAAATTCCCTAAGCTGTTGCTTGATGAAGCTCTATCTTTCCTTCACATTTGAATGATAATCTAGCTGGATAGAGAGCATTCTTAGGAGGTGTTCTTTTGTTTTTTTTTTTTTTAATTGTTTTTAAGGGCTGGAGTGATAGCATAGCGGGTAGGGCGTTTGCCTTGCACGTAGCTGACCTGGGTTTGATTTCTCCACCCTTCTCCGAGAGCCCGGCAATGCTACCGAGAGTATCCTACCCGCATAGCAAAGCCTGGCAAGCTGCCCGTGACATATTTGATATGCCAAAAAAAAAAAACAAAAACAAAAACAGTAACAACAAGTCTCACAATGGAGACGTTACTCATGCCTGCTAGAGCAAATTGATAAACAATGGGAAGACAGTGCTACAGTTGTTTTTAAACCACAAACCACCATTCTCTTCTGGCCGGTAGTCTCATTTGATATCTCTACTGTGCATCTTCTGGGACTTCCTTTGTATTTAATTCCTTCTTTGATCTTGCTTCTTTGACTATTCTGTTTCTGTCTCTGACTTTCTGGTTACAGTGTGTCTTGCCCAGGGAATGAAGGCTTTCCTAAATAGTAACCTCTTCAATGTCAATAGACTTGCCTTCTGATGTTTTCCCCAAATAAGATCTGACAGGTTTTTTTGTTTGCTTTTGGGCCACCCTGGTGATGCTAAGGGATTACTCATATCTCTGTCCTTAGGAATCATTCCTGGTGGGCTACTGGGGATCAAACCTGGGTTGTACACAGCTGACCTGGGTTTGATGCCTGCCATCCCATTTGGTCCCACGAGTCCCGCCAGAAGTAATCCATGAGCATGGAGCTAGGAGTGAACTGTATTGGTGCTTGCTACTGAGGAGAAGGGTGGAGTTGCTGGTGACCGAGCTTAGTGGCCCCCGTGGCCCCATGAAGATGCAGCGTTTGATCCAGGCCTGGTGCGTGCAGGCAGTGGGTTGATGCTCACCGGCTGCCCGGCAGCTTCTGGATTGTTCCGTCGAATGCCATTTGCCAGAGTGAATTTGAGGAGAAAATGTCCCCCCGGCATATGTTTGTGAGGGTGGAGATTGGACAAGGACTTCTGTGAGGCTGGAAGGGGCTGCCTGAAGACTGGAGGAAAAAACCCAAAACCTTTTTCTGCTGAAGATGTGGACAGATAAGGCGGATTCTATCACAGCATTTCCTGTGTGGTTTATAGTAACTGTGTTGCTTTCTCCCTTTGTTTCTAAGTCATGATGGTACAGATTCTCCACCTGATGCTGACGAGGTTGTCGTCGTCCTCAACAACTTTAAGAGCAAAATAATTAAAGTGAAGGTAAGGCTGGCATATTAAGGAACACACCTTATATTTGGTAAAAAGTAGCACTATCTGGTATTCTTTCATTTTTACGTAAATACCTGTATCTTGAAATGAACCCTAAACTGAAGTGATAAGATGTATTATTTCCTGTATTATTTCCAGTACAGCAGAGAAAGCTTTTGCCTTGCATTCTGCTATCTACATTAGATTGCTAGCACCCCCTATGGTCCCCCGGGCACCACCAGGAATGGTCCCCGAGGAGAGAACCAGGAACAATAATAATGCTAATATTGTGCTAAATATTTCATGATCTGTCAGCTTCTATCATAGCGCTGTTTACAGTAACTTTCACAGTGCTGGTCGTGGTCTTGCTCATAAAGCTTAGCAGGAAATGAAGGCACCAGCCTAAGAGTTTTGTTTATCCTGGTATTTCTTGGAAAAGTGATTTAAATACTACAATTTAGTCTTTTTTTAAATATGAGTTCATGGCTTTCTTCCCCTTGGAGGTTCTACCTCTTGGGTAATCTGAGTGTAGCATTATAGGTTTGGGGGCTGGAGAGAACACAGCAGATATAGGGCACACGCTTTGCATGAGTCTGAACTGGGTTCTATCCCCAGTGTCCCCGATGATCCCCCAAGTTCTACCAGAAATGATCCCTGAGCACAGAGCCAGGAGGACGCCCTGAGCACTCTCAGATGTGCCCCAAACACCCCTCTACCCCCTCAAAAAAAATATTATGAGCCTCATTTTATTTCAGTGTTTTCATAGATACCATGTTGTTTATGTGGCCACAGTTCACTTTATTGTTGATACTTTATTCCCAGAACTAGGAGAGAATGCCAATGAAAATTGTTACTATAATATATGTAGCCCTATTTAATTCCTCCTCACTTCTATCAGAATTTCCTAATTTGTGGTATCTTAAATTCAAGTAGAAGGTGGTGGTAAGGCTGCATTTGGATAAGCAGGAAATGGCCCCTATACCAGAGAGAAGGTCCAGATCGGTGCTGCTTAATCCTGGGATAATGCTGTTGGTTTTCTTCTGGCAGAGCTAACTCACAGGGTTGGTTTTATTTCTCTCAGATTCTGTGTCTACTCAGTTGAATTTTCACTCTAAAAACTTACTGTCTAGGGGCTGGAGCAATAGCACAGTGGGTAGGGTGTTTGCCTTGCACGTGGCCAACCTGGGTTCGATTCCCAGCATCCCATATAGTCTCCCGAGCACCGCCAGGAGTAACTCCTGAAGAGCCAGGAGTAACCCCTGTGCATCGTCGGGTATGACCCAAAAAGCAAAAAAAAAAAAAAAAAAAAAAAAAAAGACAAATAAAACAAAAACCACCTTACTGTCTAAATGAGGTTGCTATCTCTACACTTAGGGTTTTAATCGAATATTAGGATGAAGATGCATCTGTTGACTTGTAAAGTGCCTGATCTGGGTTGCACTGACTTGTGGGAGAATTAGTCCCTGTTTCTGACAGTACTCCACACACATACACACACACACACACACACACACACACACACACACACACACACACACAAATACATACACCTTTCAAAGTCAGTGTCACAGAAGTACGATTCTTCCGCATGATTGCAGGTCCAGAAGAAGGCAGACATGGTGAATGAAGACTTGCTGAGTGATGGGGCTAATGAGAACGAATCTGGATTTTGGGACTCTTTCAAATGGTAAACTGAACGCTTGTAATGTACATTTACAAAGTAGTAATATACTTGAGGGAACACTAAAGGTAGAAGTGTCATCTCCCTCTCCTTGGGAGCATAACAGTCCTGTGTCGGCCTTCAGGTTCCTGCCCGGTGCAGCCGGGGCTGGCACTTGAGTGTTTTCACTGGATGAGCTGACAGGCTGCTGTGCTTCAGCTGTGGACCCACTCTCTGGACACTTGACGGTGGCTCCCCAGCATTGGCCCATTGTTCTGACCCCTCCCTGCTGCCAGGAGCAGCCATGTTGGTTCCATTCCGAAAGCACCCGAGCGCCGGGCGGCCACTTTCCTATCCCCCTACAGGGCTATTTCTCTGCTCTGTGTCCACTCCCCAGGTGCAGAAGGAAACTCTGTGTGTCCCTGCTCTGTACTGCCCACTGGGAAAGTGCCCGCTCTCCCCTTTCCACGCACAGGCTGTGTGCCCATTGGCGGCTCAGTTCTTTTTTTCCTTTCTCATTTCAGGGGCTTTTCGGGGGGACAGAAGACTGAGGAGGTGAAGCAGGACAAAGACAACATAATTAACATCTTCTCTGTTGCCTCGGGCCACCTCTACGAAAGATTTCTCCGGTCAGTCCCATTGATTATCTCAGTGTCTGGGGATGGATTTGTCCCAGGATTCTAGGTGAGGGGAAAGTTGCATGGGATTCTGCCCATTATTAACCTGAAGGGCTCTAAGGATCGTGGCTAGGTGGCCACTGATGATCGTATCAGCTTTGATCCAGCCAGATTTACAATATCAAACTCTATGTGTACATATTGCTCCACTGTCTTCTCCTGCCTCTGCACTCACAGGTTGTAAATGGTGGTAAATTGGTTTCTGGGTATTGGTTTCTGGGTATTGCTGATACAAGCTTAGTAGGAGGTTAGTGGGGAGATTGGAACCCTATCCTGGACCCTCTCCTCTGGAGAGTCATCAGATTGGAGAGTCTGGGGGGGATCCTCGTTGTCATCCAAGATGCCTGTTTTGCACCCAGGATGAGAGGACCCCGGTCCCCTGCTAGCAGTGCATCTGTCACCTGGGGCTCTTCTGAGTGCCTGGGTCAGCGGGCCCAAGACAGGCTCTGAAGATGAGATCAGCCTCTGTCTGACAGACACTTGTTCCTGTCCGGGCTCTTTTCACTTTTACTTTTCCACGACAAATCCCAATGAGCAAGACATCATCTTACTCATGTTTTTGCCCTCCTTATTCTAAGAGAGAAGAGCAGGATATCAGACATTAGCATCAACTGAATTTAATGAAATTCCTTCACTCCTTTGTCTGGGAAGTTGGGAATCCCAACACTGTTCCAGTTGACCACCCCTCACCTCTACCCCTTGGTCTAGCAAGTCCTGTCATGTGGGTTGTGGAGGCCATGTGGCTACACACAGTTGATGTGGGTTGTTTTGGTTTTTGTTTGGTTTGTTTTTGAGCCACACCCGGCCATGCTGAAGGGTTACTTATAGCTCTGCACTCAGAAATTACTCCTTGTGGTGCTTGGGGGACCATATGGATGCCAGGGGTTGAATCCTGTCAGCCGCTTGCAAGGCGGATGCCCTGCCCGCTGTACTGTTGATCCCGCCCGGCACAGAGCTGCTGTGGTTGCACAGATCCTCCTTCTGGAATGGTGCAGTGCCTTAGCCATCACCCTTTACTCATCTGTGCCAGAATGAACCTGGCAGTTTGTGAACCAGTTTCCTTAAAGATGTGACATGATGAGAATGTTTGTCTTTATCAGCCAAGTTGTTTTGTAGGTGGGAGGCACCCGTTCGAGAAAAGCCATGTGCTTTTCAGTCCCCCAGGAATCTCTTGTTGCCTGACTGACTTGCTTCCACAGTTAGCTGTGTCCTTGAAGGTGCAGATTTAGGGGCTCGTGGTGACTGTGTCAGTTGAGATCTCAGAACATTGGAAATGACATTATCACTTGCTTTTGTTCACAGCATCATGATGCTCTCGGTTCTGAAGAATACCAAGACCCCTGTGAAATTCTGGTTCTTGAAGAATTATTTGTCCCCCACTTTTAAGGTTTGTTTTCCAGGGGAAAGGAAAATATTCTTACTAAGCAAACATGTACAGCATAATATACTTTTTTACTACTTTTAATGTCATCTGTATAATTAAGTTTATTTTTTCTGTTTTTAGGATACCGTAATTCAAATAGCACATTTCTACATTAATTTTTCTTTTGTGCTGGTCCATTTGGGGGAATAAGTAGAAAACCTAGTGAAAATTTATGACCTGTTTGAAGTTTTGGTGCTAGGAGGAAATCTGTCTTGGAAGCAGTGTTTTGATGAAATAGCATTCTGTTTGTTAGAATGTACACATGTCCTACTTTAACTCAGTGTCTTGCTGGTTTTCACTGAGAGAATCCCAGTTATGTATAGATTCACCTCTGCGAAACATTTGGAAAGTTTCCTCTGCTTTATTTGTCAGTTGTGATTTGTTATCTAAATGGGAATGTTTTCATCTTCTGATGTTCTTTTAGAATTTACTCAGTGGCTAATGTTGTACTTGGTAACAGACTCTCCTAGTTAATAGATGGCTGCTGGTTCCCTGAAGGTCTTTGTATCTGAAATTTGAAAGATTTCAGGGCAATACATCTGCTGAGAGTGTTTGGGTTTGCTTTGCTAGTCTCAGGTTAGAGCTGGCTTAACATCAAGCTCGAGAAATGTTTTGATGAAATTAAATTTAGATGAATTCAAGTTCAGTGTTCTTAAACACACACACTGAATAGTTATCCAGAAGCCCATAGGAAGCTTTCTTAAATAAGTATGAATTCAACTTCTTTAGGACTCCATGATTTCTCTATTTGGGGTCTAGGCCCGGAAACAGATGTGTTAACTTGGAAACATGTTAACAGCTCAGCATTGCTGGGTGCAGTGGCCACAACTGGGCTCCATGCTCAGCCCTACAGCAGTAGATGAGGGCAGCAGAACCTGTGGTACGCCCACACAGCTGAAGATGGCACAGCCATAAGAAGAGGGAAACTCTTGCTGGTTGCTGCAACTCAGAGGGACCTAGAGAACGTTGTGTTAAGGAAGTAGGTCAGAGGCAGAAAGACAAATACTGAATAGTCTCAAAACTGAAATTGCCAAGCAGTGGGGGTAGGTAGGGTGTCAGGAGTTAAGGAAGAGGTGGACTTAAAAGTCATAGGATGACAGCGGTGGAAGGTCTGGGGGACTGATTCGGTGATGAAGGTGCAGTAAGTTAAGTCAAAGTCACAAATGTTAGCTTTTAACACTGTTGTAACTGTGTTACCTGAATGATGCCTCCCAATGAAAAAAAAGATATTCAAAATGCAAATGACGTTGGTAGCCCTGTGTCATTGTAAAATTTAATGCAGATTTTAGCTTGGGTTCTTTGACATGAAGCAAAGTGGTAGGAAAACAGAACAATTACGTTGTTTAGGTGATTCAAAAGGTGGCAGAATGTGATGGGAAAATTTTCTGTCATTTCATGATCAGAAATCATAAACAGGGATTTGCAACTCCAAGTTGTTGCAGTAAAGGTGTTTTGCTTGTGCCATGGTCCTGGTGGTTGGCTTATGTTAGAAGGTTGATTTTCTTTACCAAAATACATCATTGCTTGCTGGCCCCCATGTCTTAAAATAGGAGTTCATCCCTTACATGGCGAAAGAATATAACTTCCAGTATGAGCTTGTGCAGTACAAGTGGCCCCGGTGGCTCCATCAGCAGACGGAGAAGCAGCGCATCATCTGGGGCTACAAGATCCTCTTCCTGGACGTGCTCTTCCCGCTCGTCGTCGACAAGTTCCTCTTTGTGGATGCGGACCAGGTGAGTGCGTGGTTGGCGTGGGCGTCAGACTGAAGGCACCGGGTTCCTCTTCTTTGACAAATGGTTTTCTTTTTCTTGGGGGGAAATGTCTGCGCTTCTTTTACATTATTTAGCAAGCATAGAAAGTCAGCACCTAGATATTGTCACTTGAAAATCTTTCATTTGAGAAATGGAGACAGGGCGGGGAGGAGTGTCAGTGGTTCTGGGATTGGGTTGGGATGTTGAAATCGTCATGAATAGCTTTGTAAACCACAGCATTTAGACGAAGTGGGGGGAAAGAAGTTTTCATTGAGGGGCTGGAGAGAGTACTGCGGAGAGGGCGTTTGCCTTGCACATGGCCAGCCTGGGTTCATTCACAGCATCCCACAGAGCTCCATAGGAGTAATTCCTGAGCGCAGAGCCAGGAGTAACCCCTGAGCACTGGCCTGTGTAATACAAAAAAAGGCAAAAAAAAAAAAAATCCCTTACTGATTAGATCTTGCAGTTTCATATCTTATTTAGTTTATTTATGGCACAAACTAAAAACTCAAAAGCTGGGGTCTAATGGTGCTTGCCATCAGCCCCGGTCATCCAGAAGTTGGGAGCTTCAACACAGGTAACAGAGAAAGCTCAGGAAGGTACCTGACCTCTATACTGCAGCCGTCTTCAGATTCTCTTCCAGCTCTTAGAATTCCACTTCACAGAAAATAAATAAATAAATAAATAAATAAATAAAATAGCATAGTAGCACTGTCCTCCCATTGTTTGTCATTTGCTTGAGCGGACACCAGTAACGTCTCCATTGTGAGACTTGTTGTTACTGTTTTTAGCATATCGAATACGCCATGGGGAGCTTGCCAGGCTCTGCCATGCGGGTGGGATACTCTTTGGTAGCTTGCTGGGTTCTTTGAGGGATGGAGGAATTGAACCCAGTCTCCCACATGCAAAGCAAATACCCTATCTGCTGTGCTATCGCTCCAGCCCAGCTGCCCCCCCCCCCCCCAGATCTTCTGACCTTTGGGATTTTAAGCAGAAGGTGTCAGAAAAGTTACCATAGGGATAACTGGCTTGTGGCAGCCAAGTGTTCATAGTGATGTCACTTTTTGATCCTTCGATGCCAGCTCTTCCTATCATGGTGAAGCAGAATTCACCTCCCCCCCAAAAATTTGTTTTAAATAATAATAATTTTTAAAAAATTAAATAAATTAACTAAATACCCTTGATTTTAGAGTGCACAGCTCAGAAAGTCTGAACACAGTCCTGTCCTGCATCCTTGCCCTTTCTCCTGAGCTGGTCGAGACCTGGGTGGAAGGGGTGTCATATGTGTTAGAGCTGTTTGTCCTCTTTAGATGCTCTGTCCTGCCTCGTCAGTCAGACTGATTCAGTTGGAAGTTTCTTCTCCAGCTTTTGAAATAACCGTATTCCCCTGGTTAAGCACCTACTGTATGCCAGTGTCACCCCTTACCGGTGTCTCCAGTTTTGATTCACATCATCTATCCAGTAGCTCTTCTCTTTTTGAGTACTTTGAAGACTGTGTGCTAGGCACTCGACTCATTTCCTATGCAGCAGGCAGCTGGTCAGTGGAGAGTCCAGTCTCTCCTAGATGTGCTGGGCTGCGGTGCTGCTGACCCAGACTGGCCCCTGCCCTGCTGCCTCAGTGGGGTGCTCCGTACAGGAAAGGCATCTGCACCTGTGTGTAAGAAATGTCTTCTTTCCAGATTGTGCGAACAGACCTCAAAGAACTAAGAGATTTCAACCTGGACGGCGCCCCTTACGGCTATACCCCGTTCTGTGATAGCCGGAAGGAGATGGATGGCTACAGGTTCTGGAAATCAGGCTACTGGGCCAGTCACCTGGCTGGACGGAAGTATCATATCAGGTATTGAAAGGGAATAAAGGGAGAAAGGTTATTTAACAACCAGTGAAGTTCATTTTCTTTAAAATTTTGCTTACTGGGGCCAGAGCAGTGGTACAGCAGATGGGGCACTTTGCATGTCTCCAACCTGGGTTTGATCCCTGGCATCCCATATGATACCTCCCCCCACCCCCACTTCAGTACTGACAGAGGTGATCCCTGAGTGCAGAGGCAGGAGTAACCCCTGAACACCTGCTGGGTGTGGTCCCCAAATGAAAAACATTTTTCCCTGTTGAAAAATGTAGCTTGGTGATACATTAATACGACTTAACAATTAATGATGAGAATATGCACGTGAGAAGCAGTTCTTTCCGTTTCTGTGCTTCTCCTGGCCCGTTTCCATTCCACATGGACTCTCCCTTCTCTATGAACTTAGGGAGTTTTAAAATTCTTACGGAAACAATTTTGACTTCCATTTGACATCGACTGTAAATTTTAAAAATACTTCAATGTACTTTCACTGATTCGCAAGAGGCGTGTTTTCCTTATTTAACTTTGTGCCCATTTTGCTGGGGGAACATTGCTGAGGGGCCGACTCAGCCTTAGATCTGTAGAACACGCCCCTTCCCCTGTGAGGTGGGCGTGTGCACATGCCCACTCCCCCCACCCCCCCACCCCCCCCCACTGCGGTCCCAGTGTTTGCTTCTGCATATTTGGTCGTGGTGCGCCTGGACCCACACGTGTTTGCTTGTAGGATCACAATCTCAATGTCACTGCCCCTGGCCTCACCTCCAGCTCCGGGTGGTGCCAGGGATGTTCCCCTGCCACTGTACCACCTCCCCCTGCCCAGCCCGGGCACAGTAGGATTATCCTCATTGCCCCACCGAGCCTTCTGGCGCTCTGTGGAGAGACTGTGTTCCCCTTCACGTCTGCCCCCTGTTCTAGTCTGTCTATGATCTACTGTGCCATGATGTCCACCCTGGCAGCGAGAGACTCGGTCTATTGTGCCTATTTCCAGCCTCTGTGGTGGAGAAACTTCTAGAAGTTGAACTACTGAGTACAGCAGTAGGTTCATTTGTTGCTTTTCAGCAAACACTGTGGTGATTTCTCTGGACACAATGCGCCGAGTGAGATTTGAAGGGTCAAAGGAGGAGCAGAAGGAGGAGCAGAGACAGGGTCAAGATGGTCTGTGGGATGGCAGTATTCCGGTTTATTTTTGTCCTCTAAGAGCAGCTGTTGGGGTTGGAGCGATAGCACAGTGGGTAGGGTATTTGCCTTGCACGTGGCCAACCCGGGTTCGATTCCCAGCATCCCATATGGTCCCCTGAGCACCGCCAGGAGTAATTCCTTAGTGCAGAGCCAGGAGTAACCCCTGAGCATCGTTGGGTGTGACCCCCCCCCCAAAAAAAAAGCAATAAATAAATAAGAGCAACCGTCGTATTCCAGTACCTAATAATTATTCATCAAACTTGTGTATGACTTTTATTAACTGATCTGCTTGTACTTGCTAGACATCATTTGTTGGCAGTTACTTGCTTTGAAAGGAAATCTAGAAGAGGAGACGGAAATCTAGAATATGGAGATGGGTTTTGTATCTTCACTTTCTCAGCCCCTTTCACTCTGGCTCTGAGCTCACTGAGTGAGGCTGAATGCTCACCCACTGGCCCTGTGCCTGTCCGGGGGAATCATGTTTCTGCCATGATCTGGCTGTAACAAGTGGGTCTTCTTTACCCAGTGCGCTCTATGTTGTGGACCTGAAGAAATTTCGGAAGATAGCGGCTGGTGACAGACTCCGGGGACAGTACCAAGGTCTGAGTCAAGACCCGAACAGCCTCTCAAATCTTGATCAAGTAAGTGGTTGTGATTGGTGGTTTAGGATTTCATGCATCAGTGACAGGCAGGCAATGTTGTGTCTGAAAATGAAGTATATTTGTCTTTGTTTCTTCATGGGAGTGAATTTGTGTGGGAGAAAGATGAAATAAAGAAGCTAGGGAAGGAGAGTTAGTATTTCGGTTGAGTATCCATGCACCAGCCTGGTCCCTGGCACTGTAAGGACTCCTGAGCACAGGGCTAGGAGTCGTCCATTGAGCACCACTGGGAATTGCCCCCAAACCAAAATAAAACAAAACAAAAATCCAAAAGCAAGAAGAAAGGAGGAAAGGCAGGAAGTAAATGCTGATGTGGCAGATGCCATAGCCCTGGGGTGGGAAAGAAACTACCCTCCGCCCTGGTAAGGAGAGAAATGGATCTCCATACCTGCTGGGCACCGTCTGTGTGTCTTTAGGGACAAACAGCCCAAGATTCACAGTCTAGAGTGTATGTCATGTTTCCTGGGGTTTTGCATGTTCATTTGTTTGCTTTGGGGTTGAAAGGTAGAACATTTTAAAAAATAGAAATAATTCAAGAATCAGGTATTCCTTCTCTTTCTCTCTCCCCTTCCCACCACCAACCAAGTTTATTGTCACTGCGTTAGTTGTTTATTTTGTGACTTCTAAGCTCATTTTGTAAGGTCTTAGTTTTCATCTGCACCATTAGCAAATAATGGGACTGAGATTTCCTTAAGTCCTCAGGAGCACTGACACTCGAGTCTGCTGACAGCCTTTGTGTGCATGTGGGGGCAGCCAGCCGCCTCTCTGTCTTCATGTCGTTTGTAGTGTGGTCTCATCTTTCGTGTGTGGTCTTTTACATGCCCAGGAATAAGTCAGTTACTTCCAAAGCCTCTGGTGCGCCACGCCGTCCCTTAGCTTTTTTTTTTTAAGCTTTTGGTTAATCTGTTCATGTTTTTTTTTTTTTGACAGATTTTGGGGGTGTGGAGGAAGCTGAACCCCCGAACCCTGGCACTCACGCTCACGAGGCCATGCTCTGCTGCTGAGCCCCTCTCTTTGCTCCTACTCAGCATCCCCAGGCAGCATTTGGTCCCTGTTGCTGTGGGTGGAGAAGCTTCTAGCACGGGCAGGTTCAAGGGAAGATGGAATCAGGATGAGCTGTTGTAGGGCGGCCTGGTAGGGCAGCATTCCCATGGCAGGTGCTGATTCTGCTTCGGGGGTGGTATGTCAAAAGGCCTCTGCCCGCTTGCCCTGTTCTGATGCTGCCCAGCAGGAAAGTGAGTAGAGCGGCTTGAGGTGCCGTAGAGCTCACTGTTCTTTTTTTTTTTCTTCCCTATTTGGGTCACACTTGGTGATGCACAGGGGTTCCTCCTGGCTTTGCACTCAGGAGTTACTCCTGGTGGTGCTCAGGGGACCATATGAGATGCTGGGAATTGAACCCAAGTCAGCTGCATGCAAGGCAAATGCCCTTCCTGCTGTGCTGTTGCTCCAGCCCCAAGAGCTCACTGTTCTTAATGAAGCGTTTTGTTGATTTTTTTTCTCCTACCAGTGTTCTTAAGGTTGCTGCAAGATTTTTGTGGCCTCGAGGTGTCTTTATAATTTTGTGTGAAATATGCATAATGTAAAATTTGCCATTAGAAAGCTTTTTTAAGTCTGGTTTCAGTGGCCCTGAGTCCACTCCCCGTGTCCTGTGACTGCCCTCACCAGAACATTGTCATCGTCCCAAACAAAAACCTGGTTTCCAACGAGCGTTCATAACCCCTCTTCTCTGTTCTCTCTGTGAATTTACCTCTTCTCGGTACTTTTAGTACCCTAGAACGCTTTTTCCTTTTCTTTCTGGAATATTCCACTTCTCATCTCTTTTTAATGGTTTATCCATTTTCTTTCTAGCACATGTGAATCCTTCCTTTCTATTGATTGACTAATACCTTATTGCATACATAGGCCGTTTTGTTTATCCATTCTAAATTTGAAAGAAAGAGCAATAGTGTACAAGTGTCTGTTTGGGTTCCTACTTTCAGTTCTTTGCAGCTGTGTCCAGAAATTGATTTGCTGGATCAAGCTGATTGTTTGGCTGTCAGGATGGTTATTTGGGCGTTATTTTGTTGTGCCATACTCAAAGGGTTCCCTGAGGGGGAAAGAAAAATGCTAAAGTAGGCACAGAGCTTTTTCTGTTTGGTAACCAGACTATTTTCAGTTAACGTTCAAAAGACAATACTGGGTTTTGTGTTGTTTCAATTAGAATTACCCTCATACAGGGAATTTAGATATAGGTTAGTTTTAAGATGAAATTTCAGGCGTTACTATGGGTTTACTATTATTATTTTATGAATTGTCTAAGTTCTTTTGCTTTTTACTAACACCATAAATTGTCTTATATCGCCTGAGCATTTGTGGTGAGCTCAGTTCTAAGGCTAGTGATGGGCTATCCCAGCACTTGGCATCACTGACTCACTGAGCACTTCCTTTCACTGCCTTTCATGTTGGCTTTCATATTGTCACTTTCGTTTCTTTGTTTTTTTTTTTTAACCAAACAGGATTTGCCCAATAACATGATCCATCAGGTTCCAATCAAGTCCCTCCCTCAAGAATGGCTTTGGTGTGAGACATGGTGTGACGATGCCTCAAAGAAAAGGGCCAAGACCATCGACTTGGTAAGCCACGGGAGCCAGGCCTCTGGGTCCCTGCCCACAGCTGGCCACAGCCCTGCTCCTTGCCAGTTTGTCTCAGTACCTTTAAGTCTTTCTCCCCAAGTGGACGGTTTCCTTTTTGCTCTCCTAGAGCTCCTCCCACAGCGTCTTTGCAGAAGCTGCGGTTGGGACCGCTCCTGGTTCCTGTGGAGGTGGCTCTGCCCATAGCACCATAGCCGTGGCACAGACCCCTCTGGAGCTCATACAGTGGCACCTTGCTTCAACTCAGGCATGTTCTCGGGGTCTTTGCAGTGTAATAACCCGATGACCAAAGAGCCCAAACTGGAAGCTGCGGTTCGGATCGTCCCCGAGTGGCAGGACTACGATCAAGAGATCAAACAGCTGCAGATCCGCTTTCAGAGGGAAAAAGAAAGGGGAGCGCTGTACGGAGAGCAGGCAGCGGAGCCGCCCCGAGAAGGCAAGTGAGACTCAGCTCTGGGCCCTCAATGGACCCTCCACGTTTCCTGGAAAAGGACGAGCAGTGAGAGTTGTCCTCAGTCCCCTTGTCCAGCTGTCAGAATATTTTTCCAACTGGAGTTACACCACAGACCTCGACAGTGCTCGAGGCTTACTCTTGGCTCTGTGCTCGGGGCTCACTCCTGGTGGTGATCAGGGAGCCATATGCTGTGCTGAGAATTCAAACCAGAGGTCACTGCTCGTGATGCAGATGCCTTTTCTCCTCGTTTACCTCCTGGCCTCGCCTCAAACATAGTAATGCAGTTACTTGCTTTTATTGGTTTCTTTTTATTGGGGGAGAGGAGGAGCTTAGGCGGAGGAGGGCGGTTGGTATACTGATCGTTATTCATGGATTTCATGGTGCCTAAGCCAAAACCCCCTACCATATCTCTTCCGATTCCTCAGTTTCTCATTAAATTGTCTAGGCTCTGCTGAGTGAACTTACTGAAATACATTCTTAACGATTTGAAGTCATATTGATTCAAAAGTAAATATTCTTTGAGACAGGCTTACTGGGGCAGAGATAAAATGTGTATAATTTAGACTAGAAAGAACGCTTCACAGTTTCAGTAGCCAGTGTGTGTGTGTGTTGGGAGGGGAAGGGGCTCAGGGTGGTGGTGGTGGGATAATTAGATTGAAAAGTGAAATTTTTGTTTTCTGCTTTTCGGCTACACCCAGCGGTGCTCTGTGTCAGGGCCCTGGTTCCTGGGGGCTGCCGTTGCCCAGCACTGGCCCTGTGCCAGCTGTTTGGAAGCCCTGTGCACTAGTCCCCAGAATTTATAAACTGTTAAAAAGCTGGATTCTGGACTTAAAATATATTCAACTCGAAACTAATTCTTTTTTGTTTGTTTGTTTGTTTTTGGGCTACACCCGGTGATGCTCAGGGCTTACTCCTGGCTCTGTGCTCAGGAATTACTCCTGGCAGGCTCGGGGGACCGTATGGGATGCCGGGGATCGAACCCGGGTCGGCCGTGTGCAAGGCAAGTGCCCTACCCACTGTACTTTTGCTCCAGATTCATCAAAACAACATTCATCATCTAAAAAGGCAGTTACAGAGCATGGATCTCGAGTGATGAGCCTGAGCACTCTAAAGCCTGCACGAAGCCATGAATATCACGGTGGAAACAGTTGACTGTTCACCATAAAATGTCACTGAGTCAGGGATAGCCAGGACAAGCTCTAAGGGACTCCGTGCTCGCTCTGCATGTGGGAGCCCCAGGTTCAGTCCCTGCATTGCATGGTTCCTTGGACTCCCCAGGGTGGTCCAGAGTATGAAAAGAATGATGATGATGAAAATGCAGTAAGTACTCAGACCTCAAGGAATTTTATGGGTAAATGGGAGAAGAAGTAGAGACGTAGAGTTGAAAACCAAAAAGGTCCTTTGACAGGGTAGGGGCTCAGCAGTCAGGATGCACACGCTCCCCCGTTCCTGGCCATGGGGCCTCTCAGCCTCAGCACATGTGGCCCTGGAACCTGGAGATCTCCAAGCACTGTGAGTCCTGGTGCTTCCCAGAGCCCAGGTCACTGTCCCAGCTGGCTAAGTGTCTCTGTGCATGAACCTCTCTATTCTCGGGCCTCCTAAGTACTGTTGGGAGGTTGGGGGAAAAAAAAAAGAATTTAAAAAAACCATAATCAAGCTGATTGACCGTGTTTGATCTGTATGACATGGGCAGGTTGCCACTGCTGCTCCCATGGGCTGGGGACTCTGCCCGGGTGAGAATGACCTTGGGTCAGAGGCAAAGACTCTGAACTCACACTTGAGGCAGTTACCAGTAAAGAAGTGATTCATCCCAGGATAAAGTGGCATCCATAGGGATTTTTAATATTTTCATAAATTAGCGGCATTGAAAACCGTTTAAATATCCACAGGGAGAGAATGATAAATAAGTGACACTGTTGCACATGTTTATGTTACTGAGTGGAAAAGGAGTATTCTGACCAAAAATGCATGGTTTTACTGGAAGGAAATATTGTACTTGAGAAAACTAGCTGGGTGGCGATAATGTTTCAGTGTTTTAAAAATAAAAGTTGGGGGCCAGAGAGAGAGGAAAGTGGGTAGAGTGTTTGCCTTGCACGCGGCCAACCGGGTTCGATCCCCGGCACCTCATAAGGTCCCCTGAGCATCCCCAGGAGTAATTCCTGAGTACAGAGCCAGGAGTAACCCCTGAGTATTGCCAGGTGTGGCCTCCCAAAAAGCCAAAAAGGGGAGTGGGTGGCGGGGCCTCTGGAGAGGCACAGAGTTTCAGGCATTTGCCTGGCATGGGGCTGTGCGATCCTGGCACCCTGCTGTGGTCCTGTGAGCCACGGAGCGTGACCAGAAAAAGCCACACGTGAAGGTCCTTATTTTGTTGTTACTTTTCAAAAGTAAAACAAACAAAATAAGGGTCCTGCGTTTTTTCAAAAGAGATAATATCGAGGTGAAGGCACTGCATTGGCAGAACATGCCCAGCCGGTGTTTTATTATCGGGAGATTATGACCCATTTCATTTTCGATTGTTCTTCTTTTCCACAGGACCTCAGAAACGGGAAGAATTATGATCTCCGGTGGAGGCTAGGAAATTGCACCATTTGAGAAACAGTTTTATATTAAATGCTAGTTTTTTGTCTGATCTGTCTATACAACTGCTGAGAGACTGGCCGGGCCGGGCGGCACAGCCATGGCACGAGTCCCGATTCCGACCCCTGCTTCTCGAGGGGCGCTGCACCTTCGGAATTTGGGCTCCACTGGGCTTGTGCCTCAACGGAAGATACTGTGGCTGAAGCCCCGTCTCCTCTCCTGAGGATCAGTGTCTCCCCGGAGGAGAGAGCAGCGAAGACAACTGGACAGCGCAAGGCCTGTGGTGCCCACCTGAGCGTGCGTGCGCACGCACACACACACACACACACACACACACACACACACACACTCCACACACAAGCACACACACATACACATGCAAACTTAGACACACAGGCACACGTGTGTGAATAAACACACACAGACATGCATGCACACATGCACACACGCTATCAACGGAGCACGGGGCAGCGCAGCCGCCAGCGTTGCCCTGTTCTTCTTTACCTCAGTGGACTGGCAGCGGCGCTCAGCCTGCGACCGAACTGTGGTGTAGCCGCCTCAGCTCAGGGTGTCTGCCTGTGCTGCGTGCCCTTCCCGCGTTCTCTTCCCAAGCATTTTGTTTTTTGTCGAATTGAAATCCAACCATCAATCATGTGTCTTCAGGGTTAACTCGGGCAAATGAATTCTGTGACCGAATGGAGGTGATTTGGGATGAGGGGTGGGGAGGATGTGAGGAGTCGGGGAAGTGACTTGGGGCTCTGGGCGGAGGGGAGAAGGACCTGAATTTGGCTCTTGGATTTTCTAACTCATCAGTACTGTGGTGACGAATTTGAAATGAAAGCTCTATTCTTGTTCCCTCCCCGGCTCCAGCCAACTTTTTAGGTAATTGTTTTGTAAATGATTTTTGTATTTGAAAAAAAAAAATTACTTCTCCTTTCGATTTTCTTATAAAACCAAGTCTGTTATGGATTTCCTTTCTGGATACAGCCATAGTTTGCCTCTGGTGACTCGCCCGAGAGGGCTCAGGGGTCTCAGGAAGGTTCCACAGCATTGCCGCCTTCTCTCTGTGGACTTTTCTCTCTGAGACCCGGGGAGTTAGCTCTGACTGTCCTCCATCGAAGATGCCCAGTTCAAAGACCAGGAGTGAGTAAGACTGTAACTCACCTTCTCTTCCCTGTCAACTGTTCGATATTCCTTTTAGCTCAGTGCTGTCAGGGGTTGCCTTTGGCTTGTAGAGATTTCCTGCGCCTCACCCGTTCCGCTGCCACCTGGACGAAGCTTGGCCCACCACTAGCTCTTTCATGAGTGCTTTTTGCATCTTGGCTTCTGCAGCCCTGAGTGGCCCTTCTCACACAGCCGTTTCTGGACCAGGGGCAGTGCTGGCGGGCAGCAGGGAAGAGTTTGTGTCTGCTGGCCCGTGTGGGTCAGAGGCCACAGGCCTGGGCGCGGGGACGAGCAGCTGAAATGCCCCCACAGTATGTGCCTCTCTCCATGGAAGCAGGCTTTTATTTTCTATTTTGCCTATTTAAAAAAAAAAAATATATATATATATATATGTACAGGGTTGCAAATGGATAGGTATGTCCTCAGTCTTCTAATATAATTTGAGATTATATTAGAATATAATTTGAGTCTTTCCTAAAAGAGTGATCACAAGTAGCATGCCATTGGCCTGTTTTTTTTTTTCCCCATGTATTCACATGTAGAAGTTAGCTTAGAAGTCTCCCAACCTGGAATCTTTGAGTTTGCTTTTGTAATTCCTTTAAAAATTGTTGAAGAGAAACTCAAAAGATTTGGGGGGATACATTGATCTAAGACTGAAAAAGTCCCTCAGAATGATCGCTGTTGACAGGAACCAGCATGATGTGTTCTGTCTGTGAGAGCGGTTTCAAGGATAGAATCAGTGAAAGCAAAAAACATTTGTCCCAGAATCAACTTAGAGTTTATTAAGCCTCATCGAGGCTTGCAATGACCTCTACTTCTGTATCTCTCCATGGATAGAATTGTGCACTTTTCTAGTTTGTTTTCAGGGATATTGATAGGAAATGCTGAAGTTGCTAGCACTTGGCTTTGACAATTGCCGCTGTCCTTGGAATTGCAGAGACCGGCTTTCTCTCTCCCCAGAGACCTGGTCCATGTGAGAAAAGTGCAGCATAAAATCAGCATATGTGTCTCCGTTGACCCTTACCTGTCACTGCCCTCATCATAAGTCTAAATAGTTTGAATGTAGACTTCTGAGATGGTCTGGGGCTTCCTTTGTCTTTGGTTTGTGTGGCATAATCATTGACAGAATTAACCCCCACTGCTCCAGGAAACAGTTGCCACTAAGATTTGATCTCAGTCATCTTTGTTTGTTGTCTTTACAAAAGTAAATTGTGACAGAAAAGAGAAAGGTCCCCTCACCCCCTCCACAAACAAAATATCTGTTGCACTGGAGCCAGAATTCTGGAAATGTTCCAGTGCATTGTTTTTGTCATCATTTATATGTAATGCCATTTTTCTCCTGTTACAGTGGGAATTTTCCTTTCTGAATCAGTGCCAGGATGATAGGAAATAATGTGACATGTCAGAGTGACGTGTGACAGCATACGTGTTTATGTTCTGTGAACAGAGATCACTGATTGACATCAAAAGCCGTGGGCAAAGACTGTCGGAGTACCCCCGTGTGTGAGATTCCTGAAATTGCGTTCTTTTGTAGACTCTAATGAACGATAGTACAGCGGGGAGGACGTTTGCCTTGCATGCAGCCAACCTGGGTTCTATTCCTGGCATCCCAGATAGTGCCCTGAGCACTGCCAGGATTGATGAGAATGTGCATTTCAGATGGACTCAGACAGATGTTTGCCTCCCTAGCATCCGGTACACAGCGTGCCTCAGGCCCTGTGCCCACCAGCCCTCTCTGGGGTGGCACCGGCTGGATCTAGATTAAGGAACAGAGCTTCATTGGCTCTGCTGTTTAGATCCTGCATGTGTCTGGTCACAGGGACTGAGTCCCTGAATGAAGAGCTCAGAAAGATGACCCAAGCAGTGAGGAGGAAGAAATCTCTGTTTCCTTTGGGAAATTGCATTTGACTGACATTAATTTGGAACAGGTCAGATACCACCTCAGAACGATGAACATGAAGTGATATTGGGAGAAAACTTGGGTTCTTGAAAGCAGTTCTTCACTAAAATTTCGTTAACACCGCCATGCATGGCTCAAAGGAATAGCTGAAGAGTTACTGAGGATTCTGTGCTTTTCTGAATGGAGGGCTCCTACTATGGTACAGAATTAAACCTTTTATTGAGATTTACAGTGCTGTTAGTGGTTTCTCATGCACATAGTCATCTAACATTTGTATGGAGATGGAAATGTTTTGGTCCAGTCTCTAGAGGGAAACTCTTGGTGACAAAGCAGTGAAGGCTGCATTGGGTGCAAATATATTGCTGCATATTCCATTATGTGATTTTAATAAGTTTTTAAATATTTGATTTTATGGGGAGATTTTTCATGAGGTGATTAGAGTTATTCGACCTAAACATAGTGAACATTTGTCCACTTAGGTGGGATAATGTTTTATATTTAAACTCCTGTTTTCACTGCTTTGATGTAGTGAGAAAAATATCTTAATCAGGACTTTGGTAATGGAAGCAGGCAAATTAAACTCCATTAGCTCAGGTCATTCCTACATTTCAAAGTATTTGGAGGGACCAGTTTCTCCTTCATTATTTGATCTTTGATCTCCCACTCCAATATGAACATAACACCACCAATGGGTAATGGTCGGTCGGTGTATTGAGTCAAAGATCTCTGCACTGTTGTTGTTGAGTTTATAACAATAAGCTTTTGAACACAGAATCACCTTTCAGTGGATGCATGCTTCCCAGAGTGACCCATGAAGATTAAACTCCACGGTAATGTAAACCCAAGACCATTGTCTGAATCTTTCCTGATTGGCAATGCAGAGGCCAAATGTGGAAGATGTAAGCAGGTCACAACTCTAGCATGACCTAAGGCCTCCTGTAGAGGGGGGGAGTTGGCTCTGAGTTTGCCTTCTAGAATACTTAGCTCACGCACTCCACCTGTGACTGGTGCATTGCCTTGGCATCATGCCACAGGGAAGGGCAGAATTGCTCTGCAAAATACCTAAGGTCAGAAATTTGAGAAACAGATGGTTGAGTCCCATGCTTCCCAGCATTTTCCAAGAAAGTGGGGGTGAGCGTGGAGGGGGGAGGATGAGAAAAACATTAGAATCTTAAAAAAAAAAAAAAGACCTTGTTAGTAGTATCTATTTCCCTCTTCTCTTCCACTAGATCCGCACAGGTTCAGGTGCTGCCCCTTAGGAACGAGTCTTGGAGTTCTGAATGTCAGCAGAGCGAGCCCTCTGCATTCAGCTGAGCTGAGAATGAATACTTCCTGGTACTGTAATGAAAATAAGGTCTGTTCAACACAATAAACTTTTTCTTCTTTCAAACTGTGCACAGTTATTCAGCTTCCATATTTGGGAAGGGCAGGTTACTAGAGCCCAGGAAACACCCACGGGAGGAGAGTTTGGTGAGTCTCAGAGAGGAACTGTGCTGGGTTGGAGAGCTACATCCTGCTGTGCCAGCAACTCCCTACCTTTCCGGGGCTTCGCTCCTTTTGCAGAATCCCTGAGCTCTTACTCAAGCTGAGCCTGGAGTTCTGGCTCTGGTTTCTATTGATGTGAGCTCCAGCTCCAGATAATGCAGGAGTGTAGGACTGTAGGGGTGTGTGTGAGTGTAAAGAGTTTAGGTAGCGTAGCAGTGTGTGAGGGCAAGGAGTGTAGTGAATATGAGGGGTGTAGTGAGTGGGTGTGGTGAGTGTACAGGGGTATGAGTGAGGAGTGTATGGGTGAGTGAGTGGATTGAGTACATGAGTATAGGGAGGGAGTGGAGGGAGTGGAAGAGTATTAATGTAGTGAGCATGAGTAGAGTAGGTATAGTGCACGTAGTATGAGTATGAATGTTATGAATGAGTGGTGAGTGTGTGAGTGACTGGAGGAACCGTCTGACTATTGTGGGTGTAAGAAGTGCTTCCCCAGGGGAAGGTTGCCATGGACCCTTTCAATTGCAAGACCCAGCAGAGGGCACATCTGGGGAACGGGGAAGAAGGTAATGGGCAGGCAAGGGACAAGGCAGGGTGCGTCACTGAAGCCTGAGGGATGTAGGGAGGATGGAGAAACAAAAACAAGTGTTCTTGTGAAACTCATCTGCTAGTGAGCCTGTGCGACCCATCGTGGCCAGGGGAGGGAGACTAAATTGCTTTTGGGGGGTGGGGGGCACACCCAGCAGTGCTCAGGGCTTACTCCTGACTCTGTGCTCAGGGATCACTCCTTGTGGGTCTCAGGGGTCCATATAGGGTGCTGGGGATCAGACCCAACTGTGTACAAGGCAAACGTTCTACCCACTGTGCTACTGCTCAGGCCCCAAGGGAGCCTAAGTTTGACTCTGGTGCTACGAGAAAACCCTTGAGGGCTTTTCAACAGAAAAATGGTTATTTTAAATCGACTTTTATTAATAGTAATGCACATAAGTACACAAGCATATGCCTTGATAGATTTTTCAAAGTGAACACACTTCATAGCCATCATCCAGATGGATTTTATTTTTAATTTTATTTAAATATGTGATTGCAGTTCTGCAGTGGAGGGCATATTGTATCAGACCAATCCTCTTTCTGGTGATTATTCACACTGAAAACGCCGTGGACGATGACCAGGTAGGGAAATGAAGGGATTTAGCCACTGAAAGAGGGAAACACATCAAATAAGATCTTTGTTTTGGGGCTGGAGTGATAATACAGCAAGTAGGGTATTCACCCTACACACAACCAATCTGGGTTCAATCCCTGGCATTTCACATGATCCCCTGAACCCTGCCAGGAGTGAGCCCTGAGCACCACCAGCTATGACTCCCCTGCAAAAGATCTTTTTTGGTTTGTTTTAGGGCCACATCCGGCTCTGGGCTTGGATCACTCCTGGT